ATAGAAGGTTCACGATTTATATCTGAGCATTTTTTGTTGCAGTTGACGAGGGAATCTATAGTATACTGCCATGCCGTTCACCATCGAAGTACAAGTGTACATTTCCCGGATATACCGGACAAACAAAATTGCCGTGGATTTCATCTTTTTAATAACAAGACCCAGCACGGGCTTTGTTAACTATGACAGTTATAGATTTGTATACTCTATGGGTGATGAAAATGAATATGATTAAACATAAAAAGGGATGTCGTCGTTAAATTGCAAGTTGTAATATAGCACTTTGCAGTTTGACGACGATATAGATCTTACCATTAATTTAACACTTTGACCTTTAAACTTTTGTGCAATTATAAAAGTCTTAGGTCAAAGCGACAAATTAAATCAATTTGAAACAGGGACATGTTTAAAAAGAACGGTGATTCCCAAAATTAAATGTTAACTTAGCTTTAAATGTTAGTGGGAGTGTCTAGAAAATTTGAGATTAGTTGAAATAACCTTAAGAAGGATAATAGTCTTAAAGAGATACGAATTATCAACAAAAACAAAATCATTAAAAAATATCATAATAAAGTTTTTTTTACATAAAATTTCGTATACTCACAATCACATTAAGTAATTAATTAAAACCTAAGACGGTGTGACTTACAGGTAAATAAGAGTTTTAATAAAATTATCGCTTTTTCGTTGGTCTAGATAAAACTTGATAATATTTAACTCTTTTTCATTTTTAAATTCTCTGGACACTTTCATTGTAGTCGTGAATCAGCTCAATTTTTAACCTAAAATCGTAAGTAATGTTGTGTAATCCTCATTTACATAAATATAAGGTATATGTGTCTCGAGGGGTAACCTACTAGTCATTGGACAGTGTTTCGGAAAATAATATATTTTGTGTGAACATTTTAAAAATAATTATGAAAAATGTGACGAAATTTTGTACTTCCTACAGATAAGTTACTAAATTAATATACTGTTTTTATTTGTATTGAACTGTATTGCAATTTGTCTACTATTTTATAGTAATGGAAACTCAAGGAGCTCTTCCGTCCGATCGCTGTACCATTGTCACACTTTTCGAAGGTATAAGATATTCAAAGATTACATAAACAAAACAAACAATTTTGACTGTCTAATAACTGGTTTAAGATTTTTCTATTATCATTATTATGTTTGTGAAATTATTTGTAAGTTTCCTCCAATATTATTAAAATAAAACAAAATAATTAGAAGTCCCGGTAACAGTGAAAAATTGTTTATTGTTTTACTATTTAAAAAATAGTAAATTGGTGAGGTAAATAAAAATAAACCTTTTTGTAATTTTTATATATTATTTGTTACCTTAGTATACTGTGACCTTATTACTGTGTGTTCTCCGAGTTGACAATAAATGTCGTGTATTGTTTTTTTTTTTCGTTAAAAATTGTTTTAAGAATCTTTCAGGTTTGCACATTTTCACCTGCAGTATAAATAACTTGTATAATGATGAAACTGCATTTTTATTTTTTTTGAAGTTTGATGCATACATATGTGTCTATCTATCTATATCTAACTAGCACATTATTTTAAACGGTAACTCCACACAAACGTAGCAGGGCGGCTTGTGTGTGTGCGCGCCCGCCGTGTGTCATGTTCAGACGCACACATTCACATAATCCCGCGAAAAACGCATTGCATAGCGCTGGTAATTTTTTTCATTCTTTTGCGTATATGTGCCTCCGAACACGACGCGGCGGGCGTGCATACTTACACGCCGCGCTGTTACGTTTGTGTGGAGTTACTACACTTATATACTTATTATATGCGTCTAGCGTGGTCGAAGAAACCACTACTTAGCACAGCAGTAACAGTAGCAACTGTTGGCTGTTACTAACGTTTTTTCAAGCGATTAGCTATGTCTTCCATGAGATTGAACGAATTCGTAGCCCCTAGAAAATAAACGCGTAGCTGCGAGGCTAGTGTGCATTATATACATAATGCGCAAAACACACACGGCTTTCGCTACAAATGGAAAGTAGGAAAGCATATTTATTGTAAACAGGTTCTTGAATGAAAGGGGTTAAAATGTTATATCGACATTCAGTCAGCAATTAATCTAAACAACTATTTATTATTATTAGGGTGGCTTCATGCAGTGCCTATGCATCCCCTCATCATTGCGACCACTGACTGATCTATTGTGATCACCACTAATTACATTGCAGAGCCAAGGCCGACAGCACTGAAGAAGTGAAGGACTTACCTGGCTCCGATAGATTTTATGTCCTCTGGTTCTGGCATGTGCTTTCCCAGTATGGAACTTCGTACGTCTATTAAGCTACCCGCATTGGGTGAGTAGGTGAACATAAATTTCAACCGCTTGTGGTAGAATCAACCCAATGTGCCCAATATTAGACATGTGCTACAAGCCACATTGGCCTATTAAGCTTAGTGAGCATTCTTATGCCATTCCTGTCCTATAACAAAGCTTCTCTACAGTGTTTGGCACTGTAGAGAAGCTATCAGGGCTTTTGAATGCTCAAGACCCTTGTTCTGTAGCCACACTTCTCAGGGGACATGCTGGTACTGGACTCCCTTTGTATGAATAAATGCAAAGAAGTCAGGTTAAGCATGTATTTAGAGCCGCTCCAAGTGTGGTTGACGTGGCTCCCGTTGCTAGCAAGCACGCGATACGACGCTGTAGACTGCCCAATGTGACAATTGGGGTTATTTGGCTAACTTTAGCACTCCAAGCAACAGAGGCGTATGTCACTAAAAGCCTCACAGAGTTATACCTAGAATTTCTAAGCAACGAACGAACTCAACAAATTTCGCTTGGCTTATACCTTTAATCTTACTATCAGGTTTTACGTCGGCATATCTATTGGAAAGTCGTCGCTCACTAATGTTCCAACATGATTTCAACATGGCCCCGACCTTTCCTCATTCGATTGTCAGTGACATAAACAAAATTCAAGCGTGGTCCCGGTGTGGGAACGATGAGCGGAAAATTTATCGATGGAAATAAATTCCAAACTCTAATTCGAAGTCTAAAATGGAATCAAGCAATCAAGAATAAAATCAAGCTGAAATGCATTCCTAATGTGCTAAATGTACATATACTATTAGTACAGAGGACATCGGGCATGCGCAAATTTCCTCTAGATGCAACATCGTGCATACCAGTTGCGTTCAGTTTAAAATGAAAACATGAAAATTAAAAGATGACAAAATCAAATTCTTTATTATCGTAATATGTACCTATTTTTATTTATAACTTTTGCTTTTACGTTTGTGGATATAGTAATATCTAATTTGGTAACATTCTTATTGAACACAATTTACCGCTTTAGTTTCATTGCTTAGTTTGATCTAGTGAGTTAGGAATTGTGGAAAAGCTCGAATTGGACGGAAGAAGCATTGAAAGGATACGGATATTTCAAAATTTCATACGTTCTCAATACATCATGAGGCATTCAAACCATTCGTAGAAGTCTAGAAAGATCAATAACGCAGGAATGCACTTGAATTCAGGCGGACGTGTGGGAGAGTGGGCTGTTTGTATTAAGAACGATGCGATGACGCACGTTGTTTGGCGGAAATTTTTAAAATGGCCAATTAATTATTGAATTAAAAAAGAAGAATGTGGTAAAAGTTTCGTAAAAAATTTAGAATTGAGAATTTAGTTTAATTAGCATTTTTACACTGTTAATGTATTATTTTTTTGTTACATCTTTACAACCATTTAATAGTATTCCATCGCGCTAGTTCTCGTATGCAGATACATACATCTTCTAGGCGGTATCGTATCGCAGCTCATATTATGTGCAAGGAATTGCATTGGAAGTACCAGGTAAGCATAGACGAGAGTAGTTATTAGCGACTTCCGAGGTGAGGGTGGGGTGCACTTGCGCAGAGGAGCTACGTCATTCAATAGAAAGCCTGCGCAGTACAGAAAACGTTCACTTAAGTGAATTTTACCCTAACCAGTCACTATACTGTAGAATATATTCCTTAGGATAATTTTTACCAGTGAGCTAAACCATCTGTTCATAACTCAGTTATCATTCCACTATTACTCATTATATCATAAGTATTGGGGGATTCTGCAAATTAGCTGTCGTAAACCAAGTGAATCGTGTACAAACAAGTATCGCGTGACCGCTTAAATCATGTGGCGTATACTAACAATTCTTTTAAACAATTGTTATGCATTATTAATCATTAACGTTTTCCTCCTTTACTTGCACATGCATGCAATTTCAGTAGAGTCGATCATCGCTCTATTTACCCAAAATATTATGGAAACTTTCAGTGATCTCCTCTGTTGTTATTTGATAATGTACCACCTGTATACTCTCATTGAAGACTATTCGCTATATGACTTATAAATATGATTTACTCATTCATTAACCAGAGCTGTTTTGTTTTATAAGTTTTATTTCATATATCTTTATGTAAGCTACTCGTAGTTTACACAGACCAGAATAAATTCAATTATCTGTATCACACTATTTTCCCATCTTTATAACATAAACAAACTATTTTGAGTTACGTGCAATGAATGAAAAAAAATCACACGTTCCGTGTACAATACAAGTAAAACTTTACGACAATAAGGAGGATGTTTATGACATACGTGACTATGATCACAAAGACACCAACCTTGGACTTGTCTGGGACTAATTTTGAGGTAAACGTTAACAGAATGATATTATCTCGTCAAATCGTTAACTAAAAAGATCATGAATCATGATCACGAGGTTAAGTTATAGCATTTGATGTAGTTTAAAGATAATTTGTAAATTTGTTTTTGCTTTGTACTGCGCAACATTTGTGTGCGGTACATTTTATTTGAAACCTTTCCAAATATTGTACACATATAAAAGCCCTATCTGTGAATAAGCATTATGTGGTACAATTTTCATTTATTTTCATATTATACGTTTGTTCAGTATACAAAGTTACATTTCGTTATTCCGATACAATAAATGAACTAACTGTACTTTTTCTACTTACAGCACAACAAGTACGACGTAGGCAGCGGAGAGCAATTCGACGATCTGGTGGGACTGATAGAGCACTTTCGCTCCTACCCCATGGTGGAGACTTCAGGCGACGTGTTGCGCCTGCTGCAACCGCTCAGTGGTACCCGCCTGCGAGCAAGGAACATCAACAGAAAAGTCCAGGATTTGCAGGTACTTATAAAATGGTTCTTCTATATAGGAGTTTATAAATACCTTCATAGACAATACAAAACTTGGACAATTTAGATATAAATGTAACATTATCGCCTATCTTGATAAGTAGTGCTGCAAAGCAAAGTAGCAGACTTTGATATCTATAGCCTAGATTACTACCCTTGATACCACCCCGAAAATATTTGGTGGTCAGGGTCGGAGACCAAGCAGTGATTGAGAAATAAATAAATATCCAATTCTTTAGAGAAATTATGACTTCGTCTGACGGGTAAATGAGCTACATATATATATAAATATATATGTATACATAAGGCGCACTGTAAGTTTCCGGAACTGGCCACTTACATAAACAATATTTAAAAAGTAATTACAACATTTGAAAATGGAACTCTTTGGCTGTAGAATAAAGTTTGTTTCATCTGACTGTCATTTGTTTTAACATTGTGGCGTCATTTTAGAAATTGGTTGTCTACATCACCATGGATTTAACTCGTGAAAATTTTCGTAATATGATTTTCTACGACTTTAAGTCTAATGTCATAGCTCAGCGGAGTTTCGCTCAGCTTCAAACTGCTTTTGGCGATGAAGCGCCATGCAAGACGACTGTTTATAGCTGGTTTGCAGAAATCAAACGCGGTCGTGTGAATCTCAGTGACGAATTTCGTGATGGTCGCCCATCCACTGCTGTGAACAACAAAAACATCGATTTTGTGGCGCCGTATGATCAAAATAGACAGGCATGTGACATACCATGAGATTCGGGCATCTTTAGACACAGGCATTAATCAAATACAATCGATATTACACAAACATTTCATTGACACACAATCATTGAGCCGAAACCAATCAAAGTGGCTCAATAAAACTGGACACGTGGCTACTGTTGCTTTTGAGAACCGATGTGCTGTGAATAGTGATTGGTACACGACCATTTGTTTACTGGAAGTTATTGACAAACTCCGTAAAAATAAATCATCGTGCACCACGATAATGCCAGTTCTCACATGGCCAGACAGACAAATGAATTTTTGAAGGTGAACAACATTGACCTTATAAGCCATCCCGCGTACAGTCCCGACCTTGTGACATTTGTTTATTTCCAAACCAGTTACGCGGTCAACGATTTTCATCACCTGAAGAGGCTGTCGAAGAGTATGAAAAATATGTTTCAGAAATTTTTCATACTCTTCGACAGCTTCTTCAGGTGAAGCCGCAAATACTTTGCTCATGGATCATATGATACAAAACCTGCTATGCCTCTGTTTGCGATGGCTCTATTTGGCTCTATTCTTCAATTTAGAATATTGTAGCTCTAATTTGCGCACACATAAGGCAGGGCGGGTGTAGCTAAACCATACCAGCATATGTCATAAGTTTAAATGGAGCCTTATAGACAAATTTACAACATTATTTAAAAAAATACAGGATATGGAAGATAAATTGGAAACAAAAACCGGCTTCTACAGCGAGTTCCAGTCCTTGAAGATGTTAGAAGATAGACTTGTCTTATCCACTGACGAGGGAATGAAGCCTGTGAATTCAACCAAAAATCGCTACAGAAACATCCTACCATGTGAGTAGAAATAAGAACGATTCTTCAAATAATTATATGCACAGCTTTTACAACGTACTAATATAATAATTATTAATAATTTATAATATAATTAATATAATAATAATTATTTAATTCATAATTTTACTCAGTTTAACTGCCTCTGTGGCAGGACGGTTACCAAGCCGGACTGCCACGCGGAGGTCTCAGGTTCGATTCCCGGGTCGGGAGAAATATTTGTATGGCCTACATTTATTTCTCTCGTAAGTTTGGGAGTAATTTGTGGTTGTCTATGTGTGTGTCCATGGCACCAGCGACATAGGGTTTCCCTAGTTGAGTCATTAACAAATAATCAAGTTTGCAATTGCAAAGAAATGAAACCACAATCCTCCCTGTCTGTATTTGTCACTGATCCCTCCTTATTGTTGTTGCAGAAACCTTGTTTAGAATCAAAAAATACCTCTTTGTCAATAACTAGATCAAATGAAATTCAAAAAAATATTGTTATGTATAGTGATGAAATGGGTAAAAATATAGGTTTGCAACTTAACCACCTAGGAATAAAATTAACAAATATTTGCATGCCAGGTGCACATACTGTAAAATATTAGATAGTATTTTGTCAACTAAATTTGACAAAGACATTTCAATAATAATTTTAATTGGCAGAAGAGGAAAATGTAACAAAAAAGATTTAATTCAATATATTTCACAATTAAATAATTTAATTAATATAAAAGAAATTATTTTGTTAGCTTTTCCTTTCAGCAATAGCCTCACAACAAGTGAAAATAATTTGAGGCATAACTTAAATAGAACATTACACAGCTTGACATTTCATTATAGTAAATTTCATATCATGGATACTAATAATTTTATTAGTAAATATTTTTATTTGACTAAAGATAGGTATTATCTTACTAGTTATTTTAGGAGACAGATAGCAGAGTTGCTATCATATTATATTAATAATTCAGCCAAATCATTGGCTACCAGACCGGCTGCTTCTATTGAGCAGTCCGTTGACATAGGTCAGTTTACTGACAATAATCATTCTGTTGAAAATAATTCAATTTCTAATTACTTAAATTAACACAATGACAGTAAAAAACCAACCTGAAACACACAGAAATAAAAAAAGTTGTATATTAAACCTGGTGCATCAAAATATTCAAGGCATGAAAGGCAAAGAGTTAAAAATAGAATTATTTATTAACTGTAATAATATTGATATTCTTTGTATTACTGAACACCACTTTCTATTAAAACATCGGTTCATGTTTAGCTTCAACAATCACCAGGAGGCTAGTTCGTTCAGCAGAGAAACAGCTATTCATGGCGGCTCTTTAATTCTTATTAAAAATAATTTAAAATTTAAAGAACGTACAGATATTGTGAGCCTATCTATTGAGCGGACTATAGAGATATCCTGCATAGAGCTTGAACGGTTTGTTATATTAAGCGTGTACAGACAGACCCCCTCATTCATCTTACGAACTATTTGAAAATAGATTAGATGAAGTTTTAGGCAAATTAGATAATCCCAATAAATATATTGCTGTTTGTGGTGATTTCAGTGTTAACTTATTAGAAGTTTCCAGTGCTAGCAGTAGGCTCATATCATTTTTCCAATGTTATAATCTTGTGAATCTTTTCTTGGTGCCTACTAGAATAACTTCTACTACTGCCAATTGTTTAGACAACATTTATACTAACGCCATACCTAGTAATAAATCTATTATAAATAAATTAACTTCTGATCACTGCGGTCAATTGGCCACTTTTAATATAACTGTTGACAAAATGCCAAAAAAGGATATCACATGTGTTCCAATAAATAATGGTCGACTTAAAACTTATAGAAATAATGTAATGCTTAAACTAACTGACATTCTGTACGTTAACGATTCCAATAAATTGTATAATTCAGTTTTCAACATAGTGAAAAGTAAACGTGATAATGTTTTTAGGTCCAAAATCATAACTATTAATAATTCATTGAAATTTAGTGATTGGGCGACTGTGGGAATTCACAAAAGTAGACAAAGGCTATAATGATCTTTACGATGAAAGGACTTCTAACACTAGTAACAGTTTTAATGATTTTGTTAGGAAATATTCGAAAATGTTTAAACGTGTTTGTGTTGCAGCCAAAGCAATGTTTATAAATAATAAAATAAAAAGCAGCGCGAATGTAGTAAAAACAAATTGGAATATTATAAACAGCGAAACTGGAAGGGTCAAACCTCGTAACTTAGATTTTCAACTAAGATTTAATGACAAAATTGTAAACACAGATGCAGAAGTTGCTAAACTATTTGAAATTTTTTTTACTGACATTCCAATTTTGACTACTACGAGTAAGTCGTTAAATTATCTCCCACCGCCGCTGAATCCTTGCTAAAAGAAAATAATGCAGTTAGTATCACTAACTTAGGTTCCGTCATGTATTTCCAAACGATATTGTTAAACCCTTTAAGTCTATAAACATAAAAAGTACTGCTGATCTTGATGGTCTTTCAGTCAGAGTAATTAGTTCTATAGTTGATTGTATTGCGCCTTACTGAGCCTGTGTCTTTAATAAATGTGTTGATGATGGTGTCTTTCCTGACCTCATGAAGCAAAGTAAAGTTATTCCACTTTTCAAATCTGGTAGTATTTCTGACCCCACCAATTTCAGACTTATATCAATACTACCAACTTTCAGTAAAATATTTAAAAAAAATATTCTAAATCAGATGTGTGCACATTTTTGTAGTAATAACTTAATGTCTCCTAAACAATTTGGGTTCACTTGGGGTCGCTCTACAACCGACGCTGGTGTCGAGTTGATTAATCATATATTTGATGCATGGGAAGTCGCACATGATGCTATTGGTGTATTCTGTGACCTTTCCAAGGCTTTTGATTGTGTGCACCATGATACACTGGTCAGGAAACTTCGCCATTATGGTGTGGCGGGACGTGATCGCAACCTTCTTAAATCGTATTTGCGTGGTAGGGTACAGAGGGTCGATATTAACGGTACGAGATCATCAGGGTCTGCAATTAGCATGGGTGTCCGTCAAAGTTCAATTCTAGGCCCATTTTTGTTTTTAGTTTATATTAATGACTTATCTAGCCTTATGGAGGGTATAAAACATGAGATAGTATTGTTTGCTGATGATACTTCCTTATTATTTAAAGTTAAAACGAACCAATGTTCCTACGACGATGTGAACAATGCTATATCTAAAGTAGTTGATTGGTTTGCTGTTAATAACCTACTTCTTAATGAGAAAAAAACAAATTGTGTGAAATTTACATTACCCAATGTTAGAGAGACGGTTACAAACATTGTAGTTAGTAACGAAAGATTGAATCTTGTGGATACAGTTGTATTTCTAGGTATAACGGTCGATGCTAAATTGCAATGGGGTCCCGGTATAAGTAAGTTATCAAAACGGCTCGGCACTGCAGTGTACGCGATTAAAAAAATTAGGTAACTTTCAGACGTCGAATCTAGCGGAGATTGGTTTATTTCAGCTACTTTCACAGTCTAATGACATACGGCAATTTACAATCTGGGCCCCAACGTCTCTTTGAGAGATAAGTTTAAGGAAATTAACATTCTTACACTAGCCTCACAGTACATTTATGAAAAAGTAACTTATGTTAAAAGGAATAGTAATTTCTTTGTGAAAAATAGTGACAGACATAACATTAATACGAGGAATAACAATAAACTAGCTTTTCTTGATAGTAGTCTTCACAAAGTCAAAAAATCATTTAAGAGGCAATGTATACGCTTCTATAACAAGATTCCGGTAGATATAGAAAATTTGCCTTTCACGAAGTTTAAAACTATAGTGAAACAAAAACTTTATACTACAGGTTATTATACAACTTCTGCGTACTTGGATGACAAAAATCCGTGGTAGTACCCGTTTAGCTCATGGAGGTAGTCTCGATCTCTGATGTTTCAAATTAAAAAAAAATATTGTAAATGTTATTTACAAAGAGCAACCTCTAGAGTTTCTTGCTCATTCTTCTCAGGGGAATCTGCCTTACGAATGAGCGGTAGAGTTTAACCATTGTGACGATTTCAAGTGTAGTAATGCTTACCTATGAAATAAAAATAATTTTGAATTTGAAATTTGTATTTGAATTTTGAATTTGAATTTTGAATTTGAATTTGAATCCCCACAGATCATCTCCTACACCAAAACCATAATCATCTTGCCCCAATTTACTTATTTTTATTTGTTGTTAGGCAAAATAACCTGTATGCTGTCTACTGTTACCACACCATTAAAAAAGTAAATAGTGTATACAAAGCCACCAACACAAAAATTTTAGCAATTGGTTGCTTAGAATGGAAGTTGCCTAAGTTTTTAATCAACTGTACCTTAGTTCAAACTCACACAATTTTTGTTTTTTTCCACAAAAATGAACTCGTCACTCACATCGCTATTATGAACTGACTGATGAGAGGGCACATTGAGAAGAAAATATCTAGATGACGTTACAAGTTTCGCTACAATTGAAAAGGATCATCTTACCTCCAAGGATCTTCTCGTACACCTTTCCCCTACATTAAATATCATTGGTCAGTTCATTCAAACTTACCAACACAATAGACTATACAATATAACATGGTAAGTTCGAATTCAGATCTATATTATCAATGCGAAAGAGCTATTGGTGCATGACGTACCCTTTTCATTAGCTTCAAGTTGTTGTTCTCAATGTAGTCCTGCAGGGCTAGATATAGGAATTGGTACTGGGCGCGGTTTTGCACCAGTCCGTTGCGTTGAGCGCGTAGCCACCTCACCGTGTCATGCACGTCGATATCGCAGTGAACACCTGGTATTAAATTGTTTGTTTACTCCCTGTTTGCCTACGCGCTTAAGAAGTGGCGGATTAAAGACGAAGTAGTAATAAAAATTGGACTAGAATCCATAGAAAGTCCAGGACAATACTTGTATCATTATCAGATGTCCGAATCTTAACATTTAAGCGCATCATCAGAACGGCTTGATTCGCACATCATATCCGTCACTCTGGCAGTCATCACATCCAAAATAGAAGGACTCGACTGTGATACGCTACGGAAATACGACACGCCAAATTGATACGATTATATTTTTAACGTCACAAGCAACAGTGATTTGTCTCGCTTTCGCAACATAGTTCGTTTGTCGCTTTAAATAATAACATGTCAATGAAATTTAATGAAATAACAACCACAATATCAAAGTCGCAGTAATAATCAATAAGTAAATGATATTAGCTGAAATTCGCTAAGTAAATGAATTTGACCTTGTCAGAATATTCACAATTCGCATAGCTATAGAACAAGCAAAAGAAAAAACACTGAAAATTCTTACCAGAAGATTTAATTTTATCAATCAGGGTATCTAGAGCTATGAAAGTCCCAGTCCGACCCACACCCGCCGAGCAATGGATGCAGAGAATGTTCTGAAATAATATTTTGAATAAAAGAAAGCATTTGTAGGAATGCATTACTTACAATGACAGTAGATAAGGAAGAAAGGAAACTTTCAGTATTAGTCAGAGGCCAACAATATTTGATAATACGTAGATTACCTATGTCAGTAATTCATAGTATGTCCTATAGAACTTTTGTACACAGAGTTTAACAAATAGCATGATCAGCTATTGATCATAATTAAAATAACTAAATAAACCAAAATCTCGCAAAGAAATATTTTGGTATCACATTCAGGAAGTTCGTAGTCAATTTTTTGGCCAGATAATAATAACGCACACACTCAACATCCCTGCACTAGGAAAACCCTGTGTCGCGGATGCCTTGGACACACACACAGACAACCACAAATTACACTCACGAGAGAAATAAATGTAGGCCATACAAATATTTCTCCCGCCCCGGGGATCGAACCTGGGACCTCTGCGTGGCATCCCGGCATGGTAACCGTTCGGCCACAGAGGCAGTTAAATTTTGATAGGTTTTATGAGTACAATCACCGACTGAAATACTATCAAATCTCTCTGATATACACTATAAAAATTCCCTCTCCCTATATTGTCTCTACCTGTTCTGGAGCATTGTTGCTCTGTGTTATCTGGTACATTTTTCCGTTGATGTCATCGATGAAAGTAAGCACGCCAACCGCCTCCTCTGGAGTACCGTGGTCGGGCCAAGTCTGTAAAACCACCTAAATGAGTAACCATAAACAGGAACTCACATTCAAATGAAAATCTGACAAAAGTCTCGTTTGACGAAGCTATTTCTGCGTATGCCAGTCGTGATTTGAAGGTGGTTTATATTATATGAACTTCATTGATTTCTAACCATAAACTGGTACTGGTAGATGGTTCTGCTAATCTTGTCGTCGCTAACATCCATTTCCCGCACCATGTAGTCTTCGTGGCATGTCTCGCAAATGTTCTTCACCTGCAGGCTATCATACCTCTCCTCGTTCCCGCATAACGGCCAGTAACGTTCGCATTTTTTCTATGAATAACAATAATTAAAATTAGAATATAATGCAATAGCTATTTACTATTTAAGAAATGTATATTGATATAAGTAGATAGTTATACCTACTTTGTGCACAGGTTCTTTTAAACCTAAAAAGCTTGATATTTTCTGATGAAAGTACAAGACCCTAAACTCTTTCAACAAAAAAAAACCTCATATAGCAAATTAAATAAAATTTGTTCCCACTAGTTCCATGCATAGAACTTTTGTGTTACAATTAATTGTCCCATGTGAAACTAAGTATGGAACTACTAAGAATAAACCACAATACCCTCATGCAAATATATCAGCTGAATAATGCAAATTTTATAGTACCTTCCCCTTCTCAACCTCATTGGTGATCATGGCTATGACCCTCACATCCTCCTGCCAGATCATGCGCCAGAAGTCGTTTATGGTGTTTGGAAGGCAACCCTGAGTGGCAATGTACATTTTGTCTTTAACTGTAACAAAACAGATTACCAGCACTAATAGAATTTTCTAGCAATTTTTGTTTATCTTCTTTATCCTACAATCAGCCATGTTGGCTATAAACCTAAGGGTTGTGGTATTATAATGAAAAGAGTGTGACTCCCAGTGGAGCCCAGCCCTGTAGATTGTGTAATCGGATATTTTGCTATCGTGGTCTAAGTTATCGCGCCTTGTTTTTAGTCGTCGTATACTTTCAGGCGCGGTGAGCTGCTTCACTGATTGATTTGGGTGATGTTTTAGCCGGGTTTCTGAATTTATCACCACAGTTATTTCTTTTCTAACTGTGGGCAATACAAGAAATTCGTGGATCTCCGTTGTTTTTATGAATCATGACACTTGATATTTTTCGAAGTATATTGCTCTACACCCTTTGGAGAATCAATATATTAGAGGTGCTAGCAGCTCCACAGAGTTGTATGCCATATGACCAAATTAGCTTTAGTATTATTTTATACATTAGATTACATTTTGTTGTCAATAGCCAGTTTAGAATTTCGTCCAATCAGGCAATGGAGCCTTTAAATTTCAAATTGAAGCAAATTTAATACTTATGTTTTGTAATTTTATGTATTATTATTATAATTACTTAAAAGCAATTAGCTACCTCTGCATATGTTTATGCATAGATACATGTACTGCATGATCTTTAGCGACATAAATTCTCAAGGTAATTTCTTAATCCTAACGCTGACCTAGACGTCGTTGACGCTATACATACCAAAATCTCGGCAGACGTTGCCGTTGAGTTTGTCTAGCCTGATGCACTTCTTGACTTCTCGCAGCGCATCATCTGACAACGACTTCGACACGAGCGGCAGTGACTTCTTCGTCTCATTCCGAAGTATCATGGCTGAAATAAATATTTTTATGAGAGGTACGAAGTAAAGCTTTTCTATATGAAGAAATAGCTTTTCACTCTACGCACCCGATTGTGAGGTACCATGGAACGCTTAGCAAAAATATGTATACCAAAATATATGAGTGTGTAATGTAACATAGAAATTTGTTAACCTAACTCTCATGAAATATTTATATATTTTATTTAATATGTATTCTTTTATATATATATATATATAAAAATATATATATATTTATATATATAAAAGATATATATATATTTATATATGTATATATATATGCATACAACGAACGCTTTTTATAAACTCACATTTTATAATTTCATTTTTGATAACAATCATTAACCATAACAGTTTTATGTCATAAACCTTAGTTTATATAACTAAATAGAGTATTAAACTGAAATAAATTTGATCTAAAGCATACTAGGAATCGCAAACAAATTCGATTCTGCTTTTTCATTTATACTGACGTAAACTATCCTACTAAAGGAAGTAATTACCTCTTAAAAATTATCAGATTTGACAATATACGTGAGGCGTACTATAAGTTTCCGGAATGAATAAGAAAAAAATACTATAGATGGTAAAAAATGAATTTATTGTTTCTCAAAATATTCTCCGTTAGCGTTAGCGTACTTTTTCATACGAACGAACCAATTTTGAAAACATTTATACCACTAATCCGTGACAATCTCTGAAACATATTTTTCATACTCTTCGACAGCCGCTTCAGGTGATGCATATGTCTGGACTGTACGCGAGATGGCTCATAAGGTCACCGTTGTTCACCCTCGAAAATTCATTTGTCTGTCTGGCCGTGTGAAAACTGGCATAATCGTGGTGCAAGATGATACGGCGTTTACGATTATTTTTACGGAGTTTGTTAATAACTTCCGGCAAACAAATGGTCGTGTACCAATCACTATTCACGGTACAACGATTCTCCAAAGCAACAGTATCCACGTGTCCAGTTTTATTAAAAAAAGAAGCAGTCATCCGCTAAGAGGCACTTTGCACGCGCGCCACTTTGGTTGGTTTCGGCTCATTTCGAAAGACCCATACGCTCGATTGCTGCTTTGTTTTGGAATTGTTACTATAAATTCATGTTTCGTCACCTATTACCATATCTCACACCAAATTTGACGCCCCTTCGTTGAATCTGGTAAGCATGGCATTGCACCAAGTGACGCGATCCGTTTTTTGAGCCTCAGTCAAATTGTGTGGGATCCACCGAGAGCACAGCTTTCTCAGACCCAAATGTTTGTATACTATTGATTGTATTTGACTCTTGCCTATGCCTAAAGATGCCCGAATCTCATGGTATGTCACATACCTGTCTGTTTTCGGCAGATCGATATTTTTGTTGTTCACAGTAGTGGACGGGAGACCATCACGAAATTCGTTACTGAAATTCACACCACCGCGTTTGAATTCTGCAAACCAGCTATAAATAGTCGTCTTGCATGGTGCTTCATCGCCAAAAGCAGTTTGAAGCCGAGAGAAGCTCCACTGAGCTGTTACATTACACTTAAAGTCGTAGAAAATCATATTACGAAAATTTTCACGAGTTAAATCCATGGTGATGTAGACAACCAATTTCTAAAATGACGCCACAACGTAAAAACAAGTGACAGTCAGATGAAACAAACTTTATTCTATAGCCAAAGAGTTCCATTTTCAAATGTTGTAATTACTTTTTAAATATTGTTTATGTAAGTGGCCAGTTCCGGAAACTTATAATGCGCCCCATGCATTGACTTACAAATAAATGGACGACGGGTCTAATACAAAAACCACGAAAAAAATGTCCCAAGGCAACCTATTTAAACGTAGTGACGTGTAAAGGAATATGAAAAAGCTAAAACGTTGAAATTGAATTGTAATGTCATCGCAATACTGTCGAATTTTGCTTGCTTCGCTGTCAATCGAACAAACGAAGACTACGTATGACGCTCTGTATACGATTTTAACGCCCTATAAGTTCGGACACTTTTTAGCGCGGACCCGACGTCCTTATTATTGTAAGTCAATGGCCCCATGTATAAAATGATTGTTATAATAAAAGAGCTTTATGTAAAATGTTCTTAAAAAATTTAAATTATTATTATAATCGTGAATTATATAAAATTAAGTTACAGAAGTTTAATTAGTCCAAGTGAAAATTATATTAAAAAAGCGTTATATTGCTGTCCACTAACTAAAATGGTCAAATAACCATTTTTAATTGCACAAAATGGAGTACGAAATTCTCTTTTGAAAACAATTCAAATTAGTTAACTTCTTCGACTTATCGGAACTTACACTTGATGCATAGCTGAAATGTCATTAAACAATCTCAATATTCTGAAACTGGGTTATGGTTGTTAATGATATCTCAAAAAAATATTTTGTCACTTAGTCGAGTTTTAGTTAGCGGACGGCAGTATAGTAGTTGTTCTCGTAGTACACCTATTAAAAAATGAGCACCGAAAATATGTTTATAGAGAACAACAAAAAAAGATCGCAAGTTGCTACAATACGAGATCTTTGAAGATCTTCAAGAATTGCATGGCGCAAAATTCTTATTTATGTACAATGTTACAATAGTAAACAAATTAATTATGTCATGGGAGACATTGTTCTCTAACAAACTGAGAACGACACCCAAGTGAAGCTTTTCATTTAAAGTAGTATACTCATACTGCGATAAACTTCCATTATCATTATTCATAGCCCGACTTCACTTACTGCTGGATGATAGGTATTGTGTATAGGTCTCCCGTAGTTTGTGCATTCGTCACGATCCTGTGCTAGTCTCACTCATCTACGGCTCTCAATTTTGAGTATGTCGTCCACCCTTGTCGCTACAGGACATCCTACGTTTCCAAAACCATTTCTTCACCACCATTCGGTTATCGGTCTTGCAATATGTTCTTCCTTGTTTCATTTTAAACTCGTTATCCGATCTCCTATATCCTGGATGTAAGATCGTCTTTGGATTTCGGAATACGGATGTCGATCTACAAGTTTGATGCCGAGCATGATTCGCTCAATGGCTCTTTGTGCAACTCCCATTCTGTACACAGCCTTCTGGGTGAGCATCCACGACTAGGTACCGTCAGTCATAGTGGTCAAGATACATTGGTCCAATAAGCGGGTATTCAAACACTGTGCAGTATCAAGTGACTTCAGAATGTCGTCCAGCCTACCAAATGCAATCCATGTCAGCTGTATACGTTTTGTGATCCCCTTTTACTGATGCTCTTTACCAAAGGTAAATGTCCAAAATAATTATATTTACTGGTAAACTGTAATCAAGAGACACTCGCCATAACCTTCGTCTTGGACACACTCAAGGAGGCATCAAAAAGTTGTATCATTATTTGGAGATCACCAAAATTTTCTGCGAATAGTACGAATTTAGGAATCTTAGATGGGACAAGTTGCCCCATTGATAAATTTATCCTGTACTCTTCCCACTCTAGCATTTTCATGATATCATTAAGAATTGCCGTAAATAGCTTAGGGGATGGTGTCTCAATGCCAGACACCTTGCCGAATAGATACAGGGCTCGTCAGGGCTTGGATTTGCACTTGCCTTGTGGCCAAAGTGTCAAGCTCTTGGAGCACATTCACGTAACATGAATCGATGTGGCAGCGATGAAATGCGAAAGAACACGGGTCAACGTTCAACACGGTCAAAAGCCTTCCGTAATCGATGACCGTCATAGCAAGGTGCCGGATATACACTTCTACATTATGACACTTCTCCATCAGCTGCTTCACTGTGTGGATATCGTCAATTGGCTGGGATGCATTGAGCTCGCGGGTGAGTCTAGTCGCCAATATTTTGGAAAAAAGTCCATACAGTAAACAAATACACTTCAAATAGTTATATGTTTTTTAACATGTACCAATAATTCGTAAAGTCGCTTGTGTTTTAATAATATACTCACACTGAATACTATCCAGGCTCTCATTAGAGGACTGAACTGAGGTTGTGGAGTCGTTGAGACGCTGAGCCCGGATGTAATTAGCGTTTATGTAGTCGCTTTCTGACTTGTCATCGCAACGACGCAATATGACTCTGCTGTGGTCGTCTGGAAGTTGAATAACAAACCGATTTTTAACTTTGCAATATATTTTAATGTTTTTACTTATGAAAGGCATACAAATTAAATATAAACTACAGTTTTCGTTGTGAAAATCAGTATTAAATTAGTGACTTCTGTGTATCTTTTTTTAACGCACACACTCAACAGCCCCGCACTAAATTCAAATTCAAAATAATCTTTATTTCAAAGGTAAGCATTATTACACTTGAAATCGTCACAATGGTTAAACTCTACCGCTCATTCGTAAGGCAGATTCCTCTGAGAAGAATGAGCAAGAAACTCTAGGGGTTGCTCTTTGTAAATAACATTTACAATATTTTTGTTTAATTTGAAACATCAGAGATCGAGACTACCTCCATGAGCTAAACGGGTACTACCACGGATTTTTGTCATCCAAGTACGCAGAAGTTGTATAATAACCTGTAGTATAAAGTTTTTGTTTCACTATAGTTTTAAACTTCGTGAAAGGCAAATTTTCTATATCTACCGGAATCTTGTTATAGAAGCGTATACATTGCCTCTTAAATGATTTTTTGACTTTGTGAAGACTACTATCAAGAAAAGCTAGTTTATTGTTATTCCTCGTATTAATGTTATGTCTGTCACACAAATTACTATTCCTTATAACGTAAGTTACATTTTCATAAATGTATTGTGAGGCTAGTGTAAGAATGTTAATTTCCTTAAACTTATCTCTAAAAGATATTTTGGGGCCCAGATTGAAAATTCCCCTGTCCTGCACGTTTCTGCAGGACAAAGATTCTATTGATATCGGGGGCATTACCCCAAAGCAAAATGCCATATGCCATTAGACTGTGAAAGTAGCTGAAGTAAACCAATCTAGCGGTTTCGACGTCTGAAAGTTTCTTTATTATTTAATCGCGTACATTGCAGAGCCGAGCCGTTTTGATAACTTACTTATATGGGGACCCATTGCAATTTCGCATCGAACGTTATACCTAGAAATACAACTGTATCCACAAGATTCAATTTTTCGTTTAACTACCGTATACATCTACTACATCTACTAACTACAATGTTTGTAAGCGTCTCTTTAACATTGGGTAATGTAAATTTCATACAATTTGATTTTTTCTTATGAAATTGTTAACGGACTATATTAAATTTGTATGTTTTTCTGAGTACTGTAACCTCTTAATTAAATACGACTAAAATGGTAGAAGACTGGATTTCGTTTACATGATCGATCTCGATTAATAACAAATATAAATGCTTTTTCTTGTTTTAGACCAGGCCGCGTAATTGTAAAAGAAAAACCATTCGTGGTGGGTGGTCGGAAGACTATGATCTAAAGAACTAGAGGCGTAAAAAGTAGGACGCCACATAGATCGGCAAGTAAACAGTAGTAGTTTCATATACCTAGATTACATAAGTGACGACTTTGTTAAGTCTAAAAAGTTGTTGTTTTTATTTGTTTCTACCAAAACTTACAAATTTTCCTAAATAGAGCAACGTGTTCCCCTGGATCATCTTGCCAATACCCTTGGGACACCGGGGCGTCCAAGACGATCCTTTCGTAGGGTTTTAAAAATATTCAAATATAATGATGTTGGTCAATAAACAAAACGTTTTTAGTAAGACAACATGTAAATAGATTAATTTCCTATCATTCAACGCTTTTACATCTGCTTTAAGCTGAATATCTTTTAAACTGCCACCATTCTCCCCTACGGGGAGCATCTGGTACACCTTTCCCCTAACGATAAAGTAGTGCACAATTTATTGTAAAACTATTTATAGTAATCCAAACCTATTGCGTTCGATTCTTTTGGAATAAAACACACCGGTTTTCTCGTAATTAATAATTATTTATTTTAATAGGATAGTGTTATACTACAATGTTATAGTAACAGGTAGATACATAAAAAAGTAAATTATAGTAATCAATATTAGTATTTTGAATCAAAACAACGACATGATTAGTCCAGTTTGTTCTGCGGAATGCATTTCATTTATAATAATAACAACGCACACACTCAACATAGCCCCGCACTGGGGAAACCCTTTGTTGCGGGTGCCATGCACACACACATAGACAACCACAAATTACACCCAAACTCACGAGAGAAATAAATGTAGGCCATACACATATTTCTCCCGGCCTAGGAATCGAACCCAGGACCTCTGCATGGCAGTCTGGCATGGTAACAGTTCGGCCACAGAGGCAGTTAAAAAAGAGAAAAAAGAAATATATATTTTTTTAAAAATAATGTGGTCGAATTGTAATAACTTCCGCATTATTGTCGTGGCACCTAGTAAGTGCTTACTGTATACGTCCTTTGAGTATGCAAGAGAGTCCAGTAGCATCATTAAAAACAATCATGAGATATCTTTCCGATTCTATGTTGTTATCAAGTCCATTCTTTATAGGTTTGACAATTAATTAGATAAAAGACAGAATAATAGACAACATTATAATATTAAACAACATCAGCAAATAAATAAAAGACAGAATATTAATGTTATTGAGCTAAGTTTCGCTTTACGTGATTAACCGGATGTACTTTGCCTACACGAAAAGCCAGGAGTGCTATAGCACAGGATTTTATTTGAGTTGTGTCGATCTTAGGGAAGATCTTATGTATAGTCAGCGATAGACGCCTTTCAGCTGAAATGGTGGTTGGTTTGCTGTCTCCTTCGTCCTAACTTTAATATGTATAATGTAATAAATTAGCATTATACCCAGTAGTATAGTTAAACTTCATTTTTTTTAACGTTTCTGTTTTATTTTCAGGTCTACACGTCTGATGCTTAAAACTTGATTTCTGGCAACCAAAGTGTTAAATTAAGATAAATATAAGTCATTCTACTTGTTATGGCCTAATCAGTGGTGATACGTAAGATTGAGATAGTCATAGTGAGTTTCTAATTATCTACTCTTTACTTTTTGCCCTTATCTCAAAACTGTACTTTCTTTACATAATGTAATAAAAGGTCTGAAAAATGTAATAATGTTGGTTTTACTTGCCATGCTATACGAATATGAACAAATTTCTTGGTCTGATTCTTATCTCAACAAAATATTAAGTTCTTTCGCCTTTTCCTAGCTTTTCAATCACTTATAAATATTATGTACAGAAGCGTTAGGCAAGTGTTTTAGGTAATTTTGAGGTGGATGAAAAGGACCGTTCTAAATAAATTCCAATACAAGCATTTTATATGCAAAGAATTAATTTGATAAAAATAATCTTTTTATTTATAAACAGTTACTGTAGTATATTGTCAATAAGTCACCAAGACAATTACTAAATTTTCATTTCATTGTTTTGTGTCTAAGTCTAATATGAGTCAAAATGCTGTATGGAATAGTCACAGACCACCGAGTAAATCGTTACTATTTTGAAACAAAAACAGATAGTTAAAAGCTTTGCACACTTTTTTATAATTGTACCTACTTATTTAGTTTTTACACCGTCTGGTGCTTACAAAATATATTAATTTCAGAGTACTAGCTCTAGCGCTAGAATATATGGGAGGAAAGGCATTTTTGTTAATAAAACACAATTTAACTTCACATTTATATTTCATTTTACACATTTTTGCTAAATGTTGTACAACATACAGTTTCTATCATCAATTAATCATACAAGTTTATTCAATTACGTGCTTTATTGAAGAAAAAATAAAGTTGTAGTATAAAACACAAAATAAAGAGATTTTGTCATAATAATCAATATGACTATATCTAAGTATGTGATTTATTAATAAAAAATAATGTAATATAAAATATAAAATATAAAAACATTATCTACCTATAACAATATTAATAATAGAAAGTTACTTAGATTTTACGAAACTTCTTAACGAAATTGCTAAGTTGTGTCGAATAAACAATAACCTTTTTGACTTTCTCTAAGAAATCTTTTTTTTAACACTATTTTAACTGGCTAAGTTGCCTTACAAGTACATCGCAAGTACCAAACATTTTTGACAGTGAATAAAATTTCTACTAACGAACCAAAAACCCTCGGATTTTTTTCGGAATTAAAAGTAATGTTAATATAATTTAAAATATATATATTAATGTATAAATATATATATATATGCATTTTACACGTCAATAAATTTAATATTGTAATTAAATTTAGTGACGTGTAAAATCAACCTCACTTTGGTAACCACTAAAAAACACAACACTGTAGAAAACAAACCAACATCGTTTAAAATACTGAATAGGAATTACATGTGTTTTTCATCACACTTGCTCGTAAGTAGTGTTATATGTCATATGCACACAAAGCTGACCGTCGTAATGTCCCAAATTACGTCCACGAGCTTTTTCATTACTAGGGCAGTAATCGATTTTTAAAATTTTAATTGCTTATGTACATCTCTTATGCGTCAAGATTAAGCTAAAAGTTTTTATGCTCGAAAAATATGAATGTAATTCGCATATAGAAATAAAAACAAAACATTTGCATTTAAACTATATTTTAATAAATTCAAATTATGCAGTATTTTTTAGTATTTCGAATTTTTAATTTTATATACGTAATAAATACGTCATAGCCGTATGCGTTTTTGCGTTTTACAGCATTTTAGTTCGAGTTGTATTTTCTGTGGAAGAATAGCTGGTCGATTGTTTAAATAAAAAAAAGACCGCGATTCGCACCATCCGTAATTGTTGTGAAGCGATATTTATTTATACAAGAAATAAATTATCATTGTATTTATTTCCTACCCAATGTGATGAAAAACATTGTATGTAGCACGGCCGGTATAAAAAATTACAAATCTATGTTCATCATGGCTTCTAATACTCTCGTAGTATTTGTTTGGTCTGTGTTTTTGTTAGTAATTTCTTATGTACTATTGTGACGTAAATGGCATTTGAATAAGGTTTAACCACGACAAATATCGGAGGGTTTTCAATTCACATTATTGTGTAGGACGTACAATTCATTGCATAAATTTCCAATTAAAATAAAATAACTTACTAATAATAACTTACTCATTGAAAAATAAACATTTCTTATAAACATATTTTTTGTTAGTAACTTACCTAGTTATGTACTTAAATTGAATGTTTGGCACCTTACATTTAATAATTAAAAATCATGTTTTCGTACCTAACTAAATGCCATAATAATATACATAATTGAAACCTAACTACAATTTAAAACAGTAGGAATGTAACAAAAATAGATGATAGACGGTAGGTGTATATAATTTTCATACTATTAAATTACAAAAAAATTAACAGTCAAAAAGTCAGTAAGTATACATACAGGGTGTAATTGTTGTGTGCCCAGGCGACTATTCCGTAAATATAAGAGATATCAAAAACTGACATCGAAGGTACATTACATATGGAGTAAAACGACAACAATAAGATTTTAAAAATACAAATAGAAATATTCAAAACTTTAACGTTAACCATTATTATTACATTTAATATGATATTCGTAGAGAGGCTTCAATTGATGTGCTTTAAAAGATAACAATAAATTTACTTATAACTAAACTGCTCTAAATAAAGTAATAAAAATTGTAAATGAAATATCGAGTTCTTAAAGTTAACTACAAAATTTTGTATTCAAAGCAGTTGTTCGAAACTAGGCAGCATTTAACGTTAAAATTTTGGATATTTTTAGTTTTATTGTTAAAAAGTTAATGATGTCATTTTACTCATCAGGTAACGTACTTTCGGTGAGTTTAAAGGTTTTGGATATCTCTTATATTTACGAAATAATCGCCTGGTAGACATAACGAATACAGCCTGTATACAGGGTTATTTGTAAAACACTAACAACCTTCCATGACAGTATTACTACCAATATAAATATAAGCAACAACTTTTCCATGACTTTGTCAGATTACATTTTCGTTAAAATATGAAAATATTGAAATAGATCGCTCTGGTAGGTGGTAACTCTGTACTCTGTGTAACAAAGAGCGCTGGCATAAATAGGAACGGGTATGGGGAGGTCGGGTCGTGGGAGAGGACGCTTGCACGTTTTAACTTACTTACCAAGTACAGATCTAAAGTGTGAGATTTCTTTCAGAGTGATCAGTCTGTGTGTTTGTAAATTTGTGTTTTGTAAAAAATCGTGGAACATAAGTTGTTTTGTAAGATGTTAGCAATATCGACCTGCAAGTTTGTTCGATTTTATAAATAACCTTGTGTACCTATACAGGAATTTTGTATGATGGCTAATTTTGCAGAAATGCATACTTAATGTATACGTGCACTAAGATAATTTAAACTATCAACATAGAACTATCCTAAAAAGATAGTTACTAAAGCAGGATCCTAGTACAAATTCTAGGAAGATTGTAAAAGTGTCTACGTACGATGTCAATCAGCATATTCTAATTGTATTATGCGACTTAGTTCATTTGTATTGTTAACTGCTCACCGCCGTTACGTGTCAATGGCAATCGTCCTGAAACGAATTTTGATTATATTACGTAAAGCGCTGCTCGCGACGCCTCCAAAGAACCTACGTCTCCCGCAGCGCAAGCAAGTACACCACGTAATTGTGTTGCACTCGAATTTCCGATCACTGGGGAAAATATAACTATTTCATTTGGTCGCGTTCCTACTACTAAGGGCGCGTTCCCATTATGTCGTGACGACAGATAGTCGTGCACATTAAGTGTCGTGCCTTGCATATTTAAATGAAGTTGTTTACATATACTACAACACAATGAACAGTCGTTAACGAAATTTTGGCGTTACGACGACATACTGTCGTGACAATGGTTAGAGCTAGAACGACAGTCGTCAGACGATAAATAAAACGCCACGATAAAATGTGACGACAGATAATCACAGCTTCAAACGAATCTGTCCTGTGTGTGTCCATTTGAGGGCGACAAGACATTGATTGCACCCGGGCTAGCGCTAGCGCTGTCTGGAAATGGCAAGGAATCATGCAATTTTCTCTGTTGATTGACATTGACGTTGATGTGTGTTTTTATAATCTTTCTAGTATTATAAGTTAGGATCCACTGTTTGTGTGATAAATATCTTACGATAAAAATACATTGTAAGTAAGGAAAAAAATTTAACATTATGTACGGATATCCTAGACATTTATTATTTATAAGTACAACATTTAAATATTTTTTTAGCCGTTCTAAAAATATTTGTTTTTCTATGTACCAAATTATATGGTATGTTTAATGGGATGGCTCTAATGCGAGTTTGATCGTGTACAAATTTATTTTATAGCCCTAAAAATGCTGCCTACTCGTATTTCTGAATGAGAAAATAGGTAAAATTTATCTTAAATTAAATTTACCATGTGCTACAAGGCAAAATATAAACTATAGGTATAATTAAAGTTTTAAAACGTGGACAGCGTAATTCAACACCGGAAAGGTTCCTAAATCATATTTATTTATTTGTGTAATAATGAAATTAGTAAATAATAGATGATTATAGTATAATTTTTTCTCGACCTGTATGTCGTAGACGGTGGCTAAGTGTCTTAAGTTTATGATTATAATTATTATATAGAAAATAACTATTGCGAAAAGTATACGTCAAAGAGTTTGGCATAGAAGGAAGTCTGGATGCGTAACACGAGACAGTGGTAGCTAAGAAACAATGAGAAATTTGCGGAGCTGATTGCTTTCACTAGTTAGGGATGATTCCTAAGAAGAAGTTCCTATGCTGTCCTTTACTTCATCGAGGCATAACAGAGAGAGCATGGTATTTAACGCCAATTGCATTGAGAGTGTTGCAGCGTGGCCGCTTACATCTTTTCATTTCACATTATTTTAAAACCTGTGACATAAAGGACACACGAACGGCGAAGACACCGCTGCCTGAAAATAATTCGAGTCTAATGGGGCAAACTCTAGGGACTTGGGCAATTGGGTGAAAGGGGCTATTAAGTAGCAGATACTTTCCAGTACTTTAGGTATTTGCAGTTTTGCTGCAGTCACAAAACCTCTTTTTCATGGATAGTTTTATGTGAGTAATTATTGTAAAATGAGATACATTTTATATTTGATTTGTTTATATTTTTGACGGACTTATTTTTAAACAGACTATAGGTATTATAATTATGGATGCTGATTTGGTGGCGTGGTGACGTGAAAACTGGGATAGGTTTTATTTTTAAACGGTGTTAATAATCTTTCCTAAAATCTATAATGTGTGTACAACATCGAATATTGAATTGTGTCGAACTATTATTTAAGTACTATGCATTATTCATTTGTGATAAATTAATGTTTATTTTCATAAGCATTTCAAACATGAAAGTATTAAAAAAGATTTCAATTCCCATACAAAGTGATTTTGTATCACAGTTATAATTGAAAATATTACTTTTTCCTAAATTTGAATAATCAATTTCGTTTATGTTCAGTTCGTTGTTTAAAATATTATGCAAATAAAATTTATTCTGGGTTAAAAAATTAAATAAATAAACTTTAATTTTAACTCGTGCTTTTTTGAAGATTCATGCTTTTTTATGTTGAGTATTATATTATCATATTTTGTTTTACTATTGTAACTATATTTCACGAGGGTTAGTTTCGACGACCGTATTTTGTTCCGTATGTTTTGTTATATATATTTTATTATAACAGTTTTAGTGAAAAAGTTCTTACTTTAAAATTAGATTTTTGCTTCATTCACTACGTTTTATTGGGTTTGACAAAATCAAAACAAACAAGTACCTACCCTCAGTACGAGAAACATTTTGACAATTTTAGCATGGGTAGTTTCTGTTCGACTTTTGTTCTATTTGTGAATTTTGTCTATTTATTTTTTGTCAATTGCTTAATTAATTTCATACTCATTGAAAACTACACAGTGAGATTCCTAAAATGTTTCTGTGTGTTAATATTTCGTTTTAGAAAAATAACTAATTTATCGGGTAGTGACTATTTTATTATCGGTTTTGCACATCAATAGATTCGTGTATGGTGAAGGTTTGACCTTGTTAACGTAAAATTTCGATAGGCCGAATTGTAGTTCGACGAGTGCCCCTTTATGTGATATCACAGAGATTTATTCCATTGTAAACCCCGAGCATTTTTGTTGTAATTCAAATATATTAGTAAAACCGTAATCTTGTCTTATTATTTCTGAAAACCAGTAGGTACTAAACCCCTGTGTTTAGTAGTGTTGGTACAAGAACATCAACAGTAATACCTATTAAGTGTGTACAGTTATTGTGTAAAAAAATTAATTATAAACACATTTCGCACCTACTGAACAAAATTTATGAGTAGTTTCGAACGATTCTTCAGTTCTACTGTACGTGTGTATTTTTGGAAAGATAAACATTGAGTGTTACGTACAATCTTTAAAAAAGAAAAACAACCGTTTCCAAATTAATTTTTGCTAACTTTTTCCGCCCACTGTTTACCTCGCTAAAACACAAGGAACGCTAAATATTATTACCCAATTTCCATTCTAGATGACCGGCTCAATCATTTACGCATAATATTCAAATGAAAAAACCAAGTACAAAATAACGTACTTATTTAATTAAAATTGGCATTTAACGAAAAAAATATACTTATAATAATGAACTGACTGTATCAACAAAAATATTACGAAATATGTACAACCAAAGCAACAAAAATTTACAATATATCAGTCTCATAAATTTTGTTCGTAGTGGTTTCGGGTTTTTGCATTGTTTGCGTATTGGAGACGGGAGCCGGTTCCGCAGAAGGCTTGCGGTCGCCATCGGCCGCCAGGTGTGTCATACTGCCCGACATCGGCGCAGGGGCCAGGTTCAGATTCATTTTCGTCAGTAAGTTCGATTCGCTGCCAGTTTTCTTTAGGTCGGGTTGCGCGTTTGGCGGAAGCGTTGGCCCACTTCTCTGAATCATTTGTAAGCGGGCGTACTGCTCCTGAAGCGCTCGTTGCTTTTTAAGTAACTCTTGGTGGCGCTGCTCCAGTACGGCTTGCCGAGTTTTGTCGTCAGCGGAGGTGCAATCGGATGACACAGCGTTGTCAGGCCTAGGTGGTGAAGTGGGCGACGTGGGTGAGGCGAGAGGAGAGCGTGAAGTGGTGCGCGGTGGCGGGGGCGGAGGGGCGCGGCGCGCGGCCATTGCCAGCAGCTCGGGATGCCGCTCGGGCACGGGTGGCTTAGGCGGGTGCTGGCCGCGCGCGCGCACCGGCGGCGACGCGTCGGTGTCGCTGCCGCTGGGGTAGGAGTGCAGGCGGCGCAGCGAGCCTTCGCCACGGCCACCACGTTCACGCTCCGCTGGCTTGGCAAAAGTTTGCAGCTCGTCTAGAAGTGCGTCGAGGGCGTTCTCTGGCCGTAGCTCCGCTCCCCGGTCCGCAGCGCCTCGCCCGACGCAATTGCCGGCGCCCTGTGCACCATTCCACGCACTTCTAGCTGTGCCCGGGTATCTCCAACAGACATTATAAAAGCGAAGTTGCAAATAACACTCGATCACGTTGGGAGCTTCACAGATTGTGTTTTAAGTTTAATAAAAGTTCACGATTTTAAACGGTCACGCAAGTGATCCAAGTTTTGCAACAACACTTTTAGAACAAATTTAAAACACATATATTTATTTCATAAATGAATAAAAAACATTTACACAATCATTCAGGTACGTAAGATCCATTAAGTACATTTATCCACAATTATTTATAAACTAGTCTTGATGCGATCACGATCATACAAAAAGAATAAAAAGTTAACAAAAGGCGATTGCCTATCTTTTGACGCGGAATAAATATTCTGTTTATTTTAAAACTGATATCAAATCAGGAGCTCTCAAAAGAATTTCTATTCAGCGTCAATTGTTGAGGGAAGTGTGAATGACCTATGCCGTGTAGCAGTATAGAACATAGTGGTCAGTATGGACAAGGACTATACAGGCAAAATTAAAAATCGGGATTATGTCGAGATTAAACGCATTAGCATTTGGCACAAAGTGATATTATTAATAATGATATTAGAAGGCACGGAAACGATTTAATTAATAAATTTTGTGATAATAAGTACGTGATTTAAAATGCATAAAATTTTTTCGAATTCTTAAAGATGAACCTCGCTCTTAACAATTGTGATTTTTTGCCATTAGTTAAAACAACGTGTGTAGAATTATTTATGAATCAAAGTTCTACTGAATAAAGCACCATGTCAAGTGACATTATAATTAAAATTATCAAAACTAATCTAATAAAAGCTCGAGTGAATTGCAATAACTACCTACGATAAATTTACGTATATTGTTAATAATCATGATATAAATTACTTATTATTTTTGTGCTTATTACTTATATAACATATAGGATTATAATAATAATAAATGTGTAAGCGGATAGAAAATTTAGAAAAAATATTACCTGTAGGGTAGTGATGTTAGTGTTTATTTATATCTATCTCATTATCTATGTTATGGAAAAGCCAATAAGGTATAAAGTTGAGTAAAGGAAATGTCGGATGTTGATTGCACGGTGATAGAAGTGACCTTATAAAACAAGTGATTTTATTGATTACATAACAGTATCGTGAAATTGCCGACGGCGAAGAACTGTGGGAGGGTCGCGAAGAACAGGAAAAGGGAAGAGAAAAAACAGAGGACGGGTAAGGGAGTTTAAGGCATTTCATTGAAATCCAGAAGGTGGTGCGCTGCTCCTGATATCGAGAACGCACTGCAACAAAAATAAAAACAGCAAGATGCACAAACTGAAAGCATCTATAGAAATTATAAACATGCGTGTTACTTTACACAGTGAATTCAAACTAGTAATTTTTTTATACAGTAACGTGACTTCCATATTTGCGTATGTTCTAAAAAATTAAAGTATGAAGTGAAAAATCGAAAGAGGCATAATGTACAAAACCGAGAATAAGGCCAATATCAAAGTAAAACAAATCATTGTGTAACTTCATTTTTGTGTAATTTAAACCATTCTTAATATGGAAGCTTGTTGTTATTGTAAAATAAAGAATTAGTTCGGCTAAATTAAATTAAGAAGAAATATGGTTTCATTTTCGAGAGTTTCAATTTAATCTCTTTTTAATGAATTAGAAGAGTGCACGTGTTCCATAGGTACCATAGAAAAAGTTTAGCGTTGGGCATGCAGCGTGCAAAATGCTAGGTTCAGCATTTCTTCTTCAAATTAAATAATAGTAATTTGGAAAAGTTTTGTTAAAAATATTGTTATAAAATCCGATATTTTAGGCCAATTGGTAAATGATTTATTATAATAACTACTTTCAAATGAAGTACCTATCACATCTACACATATATTATTCCTAAACACCAAAAGTTAGGAGAAAAATATGAAATGATTAAAAAATTATGGCTCATTATCAATTGAAAGTAGTAAATTTGAAATGTTTTACTGCTAAACCCCCTTATAACTAGTATCGATGAATGCGGCACGTAACCTACATAAATCTAAATTCGATGACTGCCAGCGAAATTTAAAACTGTACCTTAACAACGAGTTTACATTGAGTCGAGTAACACATTAAAAATAAAACTTACAAAATTCACATACTACCAACTTTAGTTCTTCTTGTGAGCGCTAGAGGAGTTGCACAAGTAGCCACATAAATATTTGCCAAAAATATTATAAATAATTTATAAATTAATAATTAATAAGTTGTCAACAATTTATAAATTAATAATTAACAAGTTTGTAAACTCATTGCATAGGTACTAGAATATTGAATATTATACCAAGGAGTTTAGTATTCATGTATACAACGGTTATTTTTTTCACTAACCGCCTTTTAATGAGACATTTCTATAATTAAATTTGACAATAATTGTTCTTGTATATATATGTTTATTATTCCACACAAACATGCTTTAGGTGTTAGTATAGGAGGTCGAAACATGTACGAATTTCTAAAAGCTATAAAACAAAGGATTGTTTGTGTTAACGACACGAATGCCGTAAAGGAGTTAATTTAAAAATAACCCTGTATGTTAAATACCTCACCACGACAAGCGGCCGTCTTCAATGATACTTAAACACTGGTGTAAAAAACAGAAAGAGCTTTTATTTGTTAAACAACAATTTTATTTAAATGTAAGCATGCGTACCGTACTTCAATACTGTCTGAACTGAAAAAATATGCAAAACATTTCTATGTGAGTACTTTTGTATCATATGTGTAATACAAGCGATTTTGCATTACCATAATATTGCTAAGCGTTTTTTTATTCACTGAGTGCACCAACATGCCTACATAAATAAAATACAGCGTCTGTGTTATTTTACAAAATAGAGAAAATGAATACGAATTAAAAGAAAAATATAATAAAAATGAAAAGGATGTGGATTAAGAATTGAAACCAATTATTGAAATTAGTTAATAATAATAATAATAATAATGGTTAATAATATAATACGGAGATATGTATTACTCGTTAATAACAATAGCTTCTCTGAAGTATTGGCTCTGTCTCCAGGCGAACTGACGGGTACATCACGGAAAAAAGACCATCGTTAAAATAATCCACAAGATGACATAATGTAAGACAATAGGCGTATTACTTCATGATAGATACAACAGTGCTTCTACCACGAGGTTACAGCCTTCAATTCTTAGTGTTCGCGTAAGTTATTTGAATGTTTCGTTTTTGTTGCAGCCGCTAGGGGCGGTGTACAACTTGCCACACAAATATTTTACGCTGACTGACTAGCGTTGTCAAGACTATAAACTCATGGCAGAGGAACGGAACAATTTTTGTATTTTTCAGACCAGTCACGTATGGTCTTTGACACCAATCTAATCTAGAGAAATTAAATGGATTCAGGAATTGTATTTACCATGTACTCAAGGTCTTCCTTGACGTTTAAAGCCACTTCATTTATAACTTGAACATGAGTAAACCAAAAATAGTGTTAAAATGAAGTGACTATACATGACGATTATGGGTGAGACTCAATTGTACATATAATAATAATTATTACTTGTAAGGGTTAGTGTTGGAACCAATCCTGCTCATATCCAAATGAGGTAAATAGGTATTCTACAGATTGCTGCATGTTTAGAATCATCTACATTTAGTCAGTGATCCTTATTTTTGTACTAGATGTTGTGTTTAAACATATAAGTAATCAAATATTTTGACATTTTATAAAATTGGCATTGTTTTCCTGAAGCAAGGATCAAAAATGCTATGTTAACGGATAGTGCATTGGTGTTGCAGGAAAATGTGCAAAAGTATTTTTATTTCTTTGTATTCTGTTTCCGTTTTGTTTCATCACACTCTGTCTTAAAAGCGTTAGGATGATAAGCAAATGCTCCTATTGAAAGTCGTGAACACTTTTCCCTGTTTTAATTAATAAGGGACACTCAATCGAGACTTAATATAACTACTTCTATTTCTCGACGTGAATCAAAAATATAAAAAGAATATGGAATAAAATTATATAAATCTGCGATTTAATTTATTATTACTGATGTCCACGACGCAATTAAGCAGTTTCTTAATATATACGTGACAGAGAATGATTGCAGCGGTTTGTGAAATTGTAATTTTGAATTTATTATGCCAATTGGGTTTTCCATGTACAGTGTAATGGCGGACTTGATTCCTCACTACACTCGAAATTTTGAAAAGGCCAGATTCTTGATGACATCCAGAATACATAGGATGAAAATTTTCAGATTGAAGGAAACCAATCCACAAGCTGTTTATAGTAAAGTATTAACTTAAAGGATATTATAAGTCTAAATAAAATATAAAAAAGGGCTCTAAAAGCGACTATTAAATAAATAGAGGCAAGGAGAGTGCGTGAACTACTTAAGTACATGCTTCCTATAAGGTAAGGTAGAACTGAAAGGGACTACGTGCTTACAGACTGCGCTCTAATCAGTTCTATAGAGAAACTAGAGACAAGTCACTACCAGAGAAGCTCGGGTAACGTGTACGCAAATAATAAATAAGAACCGACCAAGTGCAAGTCGAACTCGCGCATGAAGGGTCCCGTACCAAAAATTGTCGATGTGAGTTGTTTAAACAGACTTGTGACTATATCGCTGTTTGAATGAACATCGACAGATTGTCATTATTTTCATTCAGACTTTAAGTTGTTAGTACTCTTGGAGAAGAAAGTGAGGGGTGATGAATAGAACTTACAAGGTAGTTATAAAAATAATTGAGATTGGTATCGTATGAACGGTTATATATCATACGACGGTATTTTGAAAAAGAAACTTTCTAGTTCACATTTATTCAATACACAATTATTATTAAAAACATTTTTCAGCTAACAATTATCGCAAAAGATGTGGGTGAATGTTTCAAGTCAAATTTAAAATTTATTCATCAAATATTTATCCAAGACACAGACAGCCGGACAGACAGAGTTATAGGTACGTAGCGGTTAATAAAATAAGAGTCCCGTTTTTCCTTTACAGGTACGGAATCCAAAAACGAATCGTTTGGCAAATAAACACAGACTTTGGAAAAAAATGCAAATTTTAAACTCTTGGCAAACCTGCAATTGTTAAGCGAATATTTGGATTATACATAGAGTCAGAAACTTTAACTGTCGTAATGAGTATGTCAGCATAACCTATCTGTAAATAAATAGTTTGGTTAAATATATCTTATAAATATGTTTAATTACTTAATGCGTTTCTGAGGAAAAAAACGGTTACACCATTATACATATAACCTATTTATACTATTAAAATGTTTTCCAGCTTAAATACATATATTATGGACAGCTTCTTCCTTAAAAAGCGCAATACGAAATAATTACTAAGTAGTTCAAATGCTCTCGTCATTGTGTAAGCATAAGCAAGGGTACCTTATTGTGGGTTTGCGGACAAGTGCTGTCAGAAGCAAATTCTTCAGAGGAAGGTCCTCCAGTGAAGGTGGAGCTCTGAGAGGACCCCGGTGAGATGCGGCCGTCTGCCATGCGTCCGTCGGTTATTGGGAGACGTTGCTCTTGAACGCAAGCAAGCCTGAAAGAGTTATTTCATAGTATTGTTAGAAAAAGTTGTATTGTTTCTTGCAAAACTATCAGATTTAAAGAAAAGGTTACCGATTCGTTTTGGGTAATCAATAAAAAACAGAGACAAAATGACTGCACTAAAAGATGTTGGTGGGGTTATTAAAGAAAAAATATACATGGTAGCGAATTAACGGGCGCAATTTTACTTACCTGGGGGCCTACTATGAGCTCTTATAACAATCCTGTTTAAGCCCGTAAGTTGGATAGCCTGTCGCTAGTGTGTTCATACTATGACCTCACAAAAATAATTCACTGTCCATGCAGTTTACGTTCCCCATTCGAAATCCAAAAAGAAAGGTAAACACCTTTCTGAAAAGGTGTTTATTTTTACATGTTTTAAAGTTGCAGTTAATAAGTGTTATGAGTACATTGTTTCTTTCTAAAATTATATGCATATGCTTATAGTATAATTTTAGAATTGAAACAGGACCAGGTAGTCAAAATAAATATTTTTTATGATACAAAATGACGGGATGAACAGGTCGTGTGCGTGGTTGTAAGCGACACACCTGTCCATAACAGATAATTGAAATCACAAAGATCTGAGGGGTACTGCCACTGCGCCAGTCACCCAGAGACATAAGTTGAAAAGTCCCATGTGCCTCAAATTTTACCAGCACCCTTACCCTTCAAAACTGGAATGCAGAAATGCTCGCATTACCGCTTGATGGTAGAAATAAGTAAGGTGGCAGTACTACCCTGGACGAACTCATTCACAAGGAGTTCTACGGCTACTAATATTATTACAATCATGATTACAAGTGATGGGACGAACGAGTCGTGCGCCTGGTGGTAAGCGTCAAGCCTGTCCATAACAGTTGCAGTGCCACTCCAAGGGCACTGCCACTGCGCCCGTCACCCTGTTGACATAAGTTGAAAAGTGTGCCCATGTGCCTGTAATTTCACCAGCACCCTTCAAAACCGGAACGCAATAATGTTCGCATTACAGCTTGCCGGCAGAAATAGGTAAGGTGACATTACTACCTTGGACAAACTCTTTCACAAGGAGTTTTAAAAAACTAAAAAACTTATAAAATTGTGATAATAATTATTGATGAATAAAGAAACTTTCATGGGATTGTCAGATGTGGCGCTACGGCAGAAATTCATTGAAAATTTAAATACCAAAGATTTGCTACAAGCTGTGTAGAGAATTCCGTAAGGTCCGCCGACTTGTTTCGTAGCTCAGTAGGGAGAACGATAGTCCCGGTACGGCGAGGTCGTTGGTTCAAGTCTTTTTTAATTTTTTCGATCTTTGTATCAATAATAACAACAAATTAGTGGAGTATTTCTGCAAAAAATGTATGAATGTATACCTTGGTAGTAGCCTTGGAAGGGTCACATTTTTTTTTATTGAATAGTGTCTTCATGATATTCAATGAAAAAAATGTGATAACCAGGGAAATGAGAAGTCACGTGCGCACAATACCGAAAATGATTTGCGTCATTTACAAACAGCCATTTACCGTTTTAAAGTGACCAGCGTTCCAGTGAGTTTTTTGCAGCGACGTAGGGCGAGTTCGAGGCGCTCTGGTTCTTCTTCCAGCATCTTCTCTTTGCGAACCACCTAGAGTGTTACAAAAAATAATCAGTTACTAAAAGTTAACAAAGATCACATATCGAATGTTTATTTTTTTATTTATATTTATTAAAAATGACAAAAATTAAATATATTAACGTAAAACTTGAGTAGGTTTAGCCATATATCGCAATTCATTGATTGGAGCTCGTAAGTCGGCAAACTGTTTTGCTTACTTTCAACGTGCCTATCCATTTCTATAGAATATTACGAGGCTGTCAAAATAAGATCCAAGTAAACAAGTAAGTACGTTCGGGATAGCGTCAAAAATAATTCACAATAAACAGTACTTTATGTGACTATTTCATAATGAAAGGCATTAAAACACACAAGTGTGGGTTTATGGTGGCAAATAACTTTTGTCACACAACCGTAGTTTTTATTTAATTCATACACAAGACCCCAACTATCATATCGTTAGATATCAAGTAACGTGTGAAATTTGTCAAAATTGTTTGATATTGACCATTGCATTACAAATAAATGGACGGCGGGTCTAATACAAAAACCACGAAAAAAAAAGTCCCAAGTCAACCTATTTAAACGTAGTAACATGTAAAGAAATATGAAAAAGCTAAAACGTTGAATTTAAATTGTAATTACATCGCAGTACTGTCTAATTTTGCTTGCTTCGCTGTCAGTCGAACAAACGAAGACTAAAGCGTGAATGACGCTCTGTATACGATTTTAACGCCCTATAAGTTCGGACACTTTTTAGCGCGGACCCGACGTCCATATAATTGTAAGTCAATGCTATTGACATTTCAATTTGATTAAAACTTCATCTCTATTGATATTAGGATTGAGGTCGAATGAAATTGTTTTGTTTTTCAGAGATGTTCGAAATTTGAAATCGATGTTATTATGAAGCATCGAGTATATAACCAGAAATAGAGACGAAACAAGGGATATATTCCTGGTAACACATGGCGATACAGTTCTTATAAATATCAACTCCGGTTGCCTCCAGTTGCTTCTGCTATATTCCAAAAAATATTCTGTATTAATTGTAATAAAGATAATATCTCTAACAATGCCGTGCTGTTCTATTCGGTGGTGTGGGAAAAACAGCAAAACATCTAATTACAAAACAAACGAAATCACATTTCACCGGTAATTAAATATTAAATATGTAATTTTGCAATTTTCGTCCATTATAGCAAAGCTCAAGTTAACTGGTCGATTTGAAGTGAAACAGTTGACGACACCCATCAATTGTTTCGAACTCGGAAACATTTCGTCTCTATTTCTGGTTATATACTCGATGTTATGAACCAATAATAACATTTTCTCAATTAAGAAATTTGTTCTAATCAAACAGTTTATCTTTTTGCTGGTCGTAATTTGCGATTTTTGAATATATCGTAGAGGGTTTATGATATGTGTGTAGATAAAATATATTGCATATGGCAAAATTTAAAGTTAAGTAAATTAAAAAATTGTGTTGCGCATTATTATGTATATTATTAGATATCCTCAAAAAAAAACGACTATTGGCTGGTGACCAATGCTCAGAATTGAGAGAGTTAATTTAGCTAAAGTAAAGAATAACGTGGGCATTCCCTTCTATAAATCCTAGGACTTCACGGAACTGATTATATTTGAATATTATTAGTTATTGAAATTTGAGTGCATTGGCGACATATTATGATTTCCTATTAAGTATTAGCTACAAATTATTGTCTCAATAAATAATATTCTAGTTGTGTTTCTATAGGTACCTACGTATTTAATAAATACTTTAGCCATTTCAAAAATAAACACGAGACAAATATTTCGAATGTTTAAAAAATAAACGGTAAAGAAAGAAATTGTATACGCATTGATGACGAAATGGGTGTGTTCATACTAAGAAAACGTTCATACCATACTCAAATTAACTCCCTCATTTCCGATGACGCACACTGAACGATTCTGCACTGGTACAGATGTCGGGTGAACGTTTATTTACAAGTTGAGTGGAGACCATTTTGGCAATATTTGGAATATAATTTTTTTTATTTTATAGGAAAAAGAACCAACGTTTATTTTTGTTATAATTTTATTACCTGTAAACCGAAGTTACCAAATAAACTTTTTATTCTTTCTTTCTATTTACCTTCTCCATTTCCGAAGCGAGCTTAACTTTCATAGTGTCCTGTAGGATGGGAAACTTGAGCTTCCAATCGGCCACAGTCTTGCTGCTTTTGGAGAGTACCATAGCAATACGCTCAATGTCAGCCATGTTCACTCGGGTTTCCCTGAGAAATTAAAGGGAAATGTTAAAAAGACCTTTTACTTGCCACGCAAATTTTGCCTCACTTGCATATCTTTAGAGCATAATGCGCGTTTGTCCTAATTTAATATTCCAGTTCCGTATGTAGGTACGGAAATTTTTTTATTATCCATTTACCTATTAGCAGCCTGTCCCCTCAGACGTTCCACTGTAGCCTCCAATTCATAGAGGTCGTTCTCCAAGAGTAACATATCCTGGCGGTAAATCTCTTCTTCACGAGTGAGTTGCTGAAACAACAGTTTGATATATATTAACGGAATGAACGTCAACTTTATCATTTATTGTATTTTTTACAAACCGACCAACAGTCAAACAGTCCATCTTAAGCAATTTAGTTTGGATTATTTATTATTACTATTGACATGAACATCAAACAAAACGAAAAAAACTCAAACCAGTGTCTGTTGTCTCAACGTGGCTACGTTAGAGTTCAGGACAGTTCGATCAAACGGAGTTTTCTTTGTTTTTGTTCGATGTTGGTATCTATAGTAAGTAATAACAAATAAGTGGACTATTTTTTACAATAATCTCAGTACAGAGTACTAAAACAACCGACCTCAAAAGTACGTGGAATTACGTCTATTTGCTAAGTTTTATTGAAATATCCCCTAGTTCGCCACTATACAGGACTTGACTGGAGATAATACAAATTGTACAGAACGTCAAAGTAGAAGAAATAACGTTGAGATAGTCAAACAAAACAAAAATTTTAACATACCTAATCACAAACAATCCAAAGAGAGTTGTTTGGTACGAAGATGTTTTATTACTTGTTGACGTCAATAAAAGAATGAAAAGTTTTAAACATATGTTTATAAAAAAAAATTAAGGGACTTCAAACTTTGCTATGTGTACATACAAAGTGAAACTAAAAAGTTAACAATAGGTTACCGGAAAGTGCGTGAAATAGGATTCATCCCCTAGTTTGCCATCCTTGGCGCATTTGTGCACTGCATCCGATTCATATTCGTTCTGAATCCGAGACTATAGAAATCTAGAAAACTCGGACCCACTTCGGGTTTCACTTGTGATAAATTAGACGCTCGGTTTCCATTTTTAGTAAGTATTATAGGTAACACACCGAATCAGGGTCGTGCTGGCAAAAGCTGGCTGCGAGGGCCCCGATCTTGACTATAGTATCAGCCATCAGTTGACGCATTTGAATGGCGTGCGACAGAGTAGAACGACGTAGGTTGCGGGTCTGCAAATCATCACAAACATTTGTAAACGCCGACGAGTTCCATTTTAACTAATCAAATGTTCGTTCGAAGATCTACGAAATTTCACAACATGACAGTGTCTAAGTAAATAAAGCTCAGTTTTGGTTTCTATCACTTGCATTCCTTTTTTAACTTCATATGGAGGTATGTATAGTGGTGTCGATGAAAACATAAAAAATCGCAATTGCAGTTTTTCGCTTTCGGCAAATAATTAGCGTTCGCAAAGTATTTATCGCGCGCGCAGTGGGTGTGTGAGCGGCGAGCTTCCATTTATAGTTATATTAGAGGTATAGTCGTACGCTGTGCAGCTATAGTTAAAATTTAATTAAGTTTTACCTCAATGCGTAAATCTCGGCTCTGCTTTTGAAGCACAGTAAGCTGATTGAAAAACTCCGGAGTGACGTTGATATTGTAGGTCCTTTGGGGCACGAGGGCCATCTGCGGGCCTACAAGCCCGGCAGGCTTAGGCGGCGGTGCCGGCTTCAGCCGATCGCGCTCTGCAACACAAACCAACCTAACAACAACGCGGCATCCCAAAACTAAACTCAACTACTCTTCGATTAAGTAAGCGTACTAGGGAAATGTGGCGTTACTTTAATTCAAAAAGACGTAACAACAGCAATATGAAAAATTAGTTCCAGTTGAAATGTAAGCTGGAAGCCATTTTACAAATTGTAGTGTAATGTTATTTGTTAACAATTCTATGAAATGTGTACCATTAAACCCAATGTGTCTATCAAATGTGAAGCCGAGTGTGCATACTTGTCCCCCACGACCCTCGAATTCTACTTATTATCGAGCAGAGCTTATGTGGAAGCGCTATTCGGCCATGTCATGTTTCCAAATATATCAGTATCAATGGATATCAAAGAATTACCTTGCGAAGACGTCCTCGGCAAAGTTGAAGATTTGATTGCCGGTTTTGTTGGCTTTGTATCGGCTTGTTATGGCAAAGAAGTAAGCGGAAAGAAATCAAATATAAGAATTATGGTCATGGTTATGATATTAACTACGAGAGTGAATAGAGAGACGGAACTGTTGCAACTTTTGTTTTGTTCTGAGAATGAAATGATTCTTGTGTTTCAACACACGTGGAATCTGATTTTGATTATTTAAAAAATAAACAAATCAATTACTTTTTCATACTATATAGGTTAATTCACTTCATCCTCAGTTTTCATAAAGAAACCAATATGATAGTCGAGCATGGTCATTCTATTCACAATGAATGATGCGATGCACACTCATTTTGAAAGAAACTAAATCGTAAATAAAAAAACTAACTCGTAATCGGTTTCTTTTCTACGGGGATAATTAGATTGCTTGCATTTTTATCATTTGCTTCATGATGTTCGAGCTCCACATCTGAGTTGCATTCGGAATAATAAAAACGCTAGCATCTCTCACGATTAATACCGAAAAAACAAATTATACAACCATAAATCACAATGTCCAATAGAAATAAATAAACGCAAGATATAAGTGAACTAAAATAACGTACAGGCAATCACGGTATTATAATCAACTCTGCACATTCGTGTTAGGGATTTATTCTCACGTCATCGTCTTTGCACGAATGGTATGCGAGCCACACAACGTCATTCCATTTACAATAAATAACGATTACATCTCTCTAAATGTTAACCACCACCACCACCAATAGCATGTAATGCTTGACTATTTGTATCGGGTATACTTCATACTTTAGTAAACCTTCGCTTATCACTACACAGCAGGCTACTAACAACTGTAACTTGCATCGGGTTGGGTTATTACATTACAATAATTTGTATGCGTACCTGAATGCTGTGGTGAGTGCGCCTTGGGCGAACTCATATCCGGGGGTTCATCCGAAAATGAGACTGATTTCTCAAATGACACAGATTTCTCTGAAACCACAAATGTTACGTTGATCAGCCTTTTTCGTCAAATGGGGTGCATGTAAAGTGACTTTTTAACGGATCACACAATGCGCATCGATTTCAAACCAACTGGCAACAAACTACTGGACGTCACGGTTTGTACACTAAAATTAACAAAAATATAATTTACTGCGACTGGACTTAGTGCCGTGTGATTCAGAACAAAAAAGCTATACTTGTTGCTTAAAAAAATAGACAAAATATTGTGTTTATCGTAATTTTGCATCATGGTACATTAAAAGGACTTTAAAAGACTTTTGAGAATTTCGAGCAGCGGTGGACAAACATAAAAATAAATAAATTGAAAAGAAAAACAATGATTGTGATATGTATGTTATGGAATAAATTGAAATTATATTTTGATAAGATGTACTTATTTTCTGTATATCTCAGTACAGTTATAATATATGTATATTTCTAAAGTTAAACAATGTCATTATTTTTGTAACAAAATTCCGTTACAAAATAAAACTGCATGTTGTAAAGATGCTACTAAACGATGATAGTTGTGATTGCGACAAAGTTGCTATAGCCCCAATGACAGTCTGTTCGAAATAGGACGGTTTGAGAAATTAAAAAGCCTCTTTTATGAAATTTTTTAATGAGCTAAATAAGTTTTACCCAACGTATTGCGTAAAAATCCCGGTATCTTTGATAATTTTCCGCAAGACACGATAATACATCAATTTCTTTGTCCAAATTGTTAAAAAAAGCATGTTGGAAGAGGAAAAAATAGAAAGCCTCGGGACAAATCCGAAAGTATCGGAATGAATAGGTTAATGTCATGTTAATGTATAAGAATTTAAGATATACTAGTTAATGCAAGATTATCGCGGTAGTACACACTGTGATAATCTAAAAGCGTATATAAAAAATCCAATTTAGATTTAATTTGAGTATGTAGGTAATTTTTATCACCTTATATATATATGCATAGCGTCTAACACGGTTTGCTGGAAGACGTTGATTCGAATCTAGCCGGATCGAAGGATTTTTTTCTAAGTGTTCGACCTTTGTATTAATAATTATAACAAACTAGTGGAGTAATTACACAAAAACAATTGAATATCATAGTGGTCAAATATTGTGATATTCAATAAATTTAAAAATTGCCTGTACATCACCGACCAAATGAAATTACTACCAACATTTCTACAAGTAACATAACTTATGTATTTATAGTCGCATTTGACAAAAGTGACTCATACCGCCCTATTTATAACCGACTGTATTCTAGATAAATGCACGCTTGATATTATTTTAGCAACGTTTGATGACAAACAATAAAGCCTTCACTGCACTGACCATTTCTCGTTCAAACGACCATGAATTTAAATCTGATTTCAGCTCAGCAATATAGGTGCCATGAACTGACTCACACAAATGTATCTATCTATACATTGAATTTCATGAAACAATTGCATTAGGTGTAAATGTGGTACCACCCGGAGTGCGACAGATGGTGTTTTAATTTTTTTTGTAAATAGAACTGAAAGTGGTACATACGTAGAATAAATTCAGCCTAATACAATTTTTCATAACAAGTAAGCCGAAAAGTACATAACCACAAGAGTTAGCAAGCAAGCGGTCAGCGTGACAATGTATGGAGAGTCGTGCATGTTGCATTGCGAACGTTGTTCTTCCCTTAAATTAGATTGTAAATGCAAAACCAAACGTAGAGTGCATTATCCACGAAATTTTACATGTTTCTTTTACAAAAGTGAAAGTAGCGCTTTCGCTAAACAACACGCCGCGATGTACGGAAACGCATAGCTATTAGATTTTGCATCTGCTCGGTTAGCGTTAGATTGGTTATGTGGAACCCATAATTTGCGGTTCTTCTCAAAATGACGTTAGTAAAGTTAAGAATATGTCACAGTGTACAATATCTGCCTCTATCTATGAGAGAAAACCTAAGCATTGTTTTAGATAACCAGCGGATGCTGCTTTTAACAGTACTCATTGTTTTAATTAATTTAAAAATATTAGTTTTAATTTTGCATAACATTTAAATGATATTACTTTTATTGTTATAGCATTTTCAGGTGAGTTTCGAATCAAAATAAACGAAATAATTAACTGCACACACGTTTTCCGCCGAGGTTCCAAAATAGAACTTGGAATATATATATGTAATGATATAAATAAGATTATGACGCTAGCAATGCAACAGCAAGTAGAATGTGCCGCGTCCAAACACACTTACGAAATTTGTCCCTCCCTAATTTGGGGGGTCTCTCGGTGCTGGGAAACCTTGCCGCATCTGAGTGCAGGAAAACGCAAACCTACATTAACCAATTGAGCTATCATAGCCTTTAAAGCCTGTAACCCTATTTTAACAGACAATCATGTAGTGTTAAGTGACGATAACGTTGCATATTACAATACATACAATGATTGTATAAAGACTATAAAAAACAATAAACTCGTACATTATCATCTTTGGTGAGCGTCATCGTTTTTAATATTGCGATGACAATGTTCAGCGCCGGGAAGAGTATTGGTAGTTCAGAGTGATCACAGGCGCTGACCGGTTAACGCTTGCTACTAAACAAAGCTTTCTTAGCGGGGTTTACGTTGGGACTACTAACCTTGTGCCGCAGGTCGACTGACGTATGTTTGGAACTCCTGACGTGGCGCAACTACAGGAGCAGTAGACCCAGGTACCTGAAGGGCTTTTTGTACCAGGCCAGTCAGGTTGGCCAACTGCCTTTCCATTTTCTCGACACGAAGACGCTGCATTTCATCGATTGGGGGATTGACCCTGGAAAACCGGCCATTAAATTCCACTGTTCTACGTAGAAACAGTGACACAATGTTATACCAGTTCGCTTAATGCTCCTAAAGGCGCTCGCACCTACATTCAGTTAGATATTGTGGCCACAATGTCGCTAAGCAATGTTCAAATTCTATTTTTGTGTATATATTATTCCTACAATTTAAATTAATCTACAATCTTTATTTCTGAAAAACCTCTTGTTATATGACGCAAAATATTATCTTATTTTTGCTTGGTGTACCTTCCGTCGTAAGGAGACCGCGGCATGGCACGAGGAGCGTTGGTGATGGGATTGACTCCGTATATTTGGTAGGAGTCATCTATCATCACATCATTGCTGAAAACAATAATTCTACATGAAACCGCGCCCACATCACTAGTAGGTAGCCTGTAGGCAGAATCACAATGAAAATCAAATTTCGTAGTGTCCGCTGCTCTTTTTTTTAATTCCTCTATTTTTATTCTCATCTATTAAATAATATTTAATCATTTTATTCTCACTTTTTTTTCATCGCCTTTGTTAGGACGTGGAGAAATACAATGTCAAGGAAGCGTTATGAAACGTGCTCTATATATAACGTTGGCCACTTACCCAGTTTCTTCGTCAATAACTGGAGCGATGGTTGGGCGGCCAGTGGCGGGCCCTAGAAATTGCGTGTAGTAGGGGTCTTCATACGGTGTCCGAGACGCGCCCCTTTCGGGAGACGACATGTAGCCTTCTCCCGCATGCGCTGAAATACAACCTCAACTTTAAAGATAATAGAAAAAAGTATAGTTCTTAATACAAAGATCGAACACATAAAAAAAATATTTCGATCCAGCTGGATTCGAACCAACGTCTTCCAGCAAACCGTGGCAGATGCTTTGCCAACTAAGCCACGGAACGAACTAGCGGACCTTACGAATTTTCTGTGATCGTTGCAGATCTTTGTTTTTGGTTTTTAACGACTTTTCTCACAGACGACGCTACGACAAAAACTAATATTACCATACATTTATTTCATTATGATTTTATTTAATTTATTTGGTACATAGTTTAAAACTTAATTCATGTAACTTCAGATATAATTAATGTAAGCAATATGTGATATAATTAGTAATGTGATGTAAATTTAGGTATTATTAGGGACTATGTTGTGTGATATGAATAAATGAATTTGAATTTGAAAAAACTCGCTAAATAAAGAAACAAAGATCTGCAGCAAGTACATCCAAAAATTCGAGGGGTTCGCTACTTGGTTCGGTGGCATAGCGTCTGCCACGGTTTGCTGTAAAACGTTGATCCAAATCTTGCCGGATCGAAGCATTTTTTCTGAGTGTTTGATTTTTGTATTAATAATTATAAAAAACTAGTGGAGTACTTTCACCGAAATAAATGAATATCATGGTGGTCAAACATCGTGACATACAAAAATTTTAATATAAGTTAAATTAGAATTTAACGAGAAACAATAAGATTGAATATAAAAAAGCGAGTAATAAAATAAAAATATGTGATTGTGAATCCAAAGCTATGTTTTATTAATCGAAAGTGAAATAGAAAAAGTTTTACATAAAAGCAAGCATAGTATTAATAAAATGATTTTACTAGTAACTAAACTTAAAGAAAACGAGAATGATTGAATCTTTAACCATTTGTTTACAGCGGAGAATTATATTTTAACAGAATGACCATTCATTTTTGTCTACAAATGATGAAATAACGAATATATTGTATGTATATTGTATGTGTGTCTATTTTAAATGTATGTCACCTACGTATCACCTTTTTATTATATGTAACAAAGAAATCAATAAGTTACGTGACTACAGATATGAATAATGTAAAGTTACATAGTAAAATTCAGTACTTCAATTTTAAATAATAATTTCCGTCAAAGTACGGATATAATCATATTATAGTTATGTGCAGGTCTCAGTCATGAAATCGACCATTTTGAAATTCAAATAACTAAAGTTACGAAGTCGGACAATTTTATTTTGATAACCGCCGAATGGAAATTTTGGTAATTTAAAAAATATATATATAAAGTATGTGCATTGAGCACAACATTGAGAAGGTGTAATGAAAGAAAAAGCTAGCAAAAGCATGTATGGAGCAAATTTGGAGCGAATGCGGAGGTCAAAGCCACGGTTACCAGGAAAGGTGTAGAGCTGTTCGGGTGCGCGGGGGTACTCGACTGCGGCGAGCGGGAAACACCGTTCGGATCCACCACTCGGGATGTAACCACGCAACGGCTTTACCGGTGCTGAGAGACCTACACATACACCTGTCTCAGCCTGGCTTTTTTAGACTTCCCCTTTGCACTTACTAACCCTCTGTACATTTGGATCCAGGAATTGCTTATCTACATCCCATCTTTCGTTTGGATCTAGTAGTTGGAACCGTGGATCCCAGTGAACTTATTCAATTACCGGAACCTCCTTTTTTTAGTGTGTTGATTTCTTATTTGTCGCTTTATGTTCTGATTAAGAAACGTTTAGAAATACGAATATTATATAGTTGACACGAGACATTGGTGTAATCTGTTTGAGAATTTTAAGTATGAAATGCATTGAAGATGAAATGTAGTGAAATTACAGCAACATGACGTGAAATTAATTTAATGTTAGTATGTAGGAAAATAACGTTGAGTGAGGAGTGTTTACCTGAGCCGGGGATGTTCTTGACGCGGTCGGCAGGGACCGGGGGAGCTGCGGGGGAGAATGCCCGCATCAACGATCCTCCACGCGGAAGGGTGCTGGGTGTGGGACCTGAAGCTCCCATATAGTAGGCTGGAGCCTTGACCTGTTAAAATATAACAATGAATACCAGTTCTCGAATACGTTTTACTTCGGCCATTAAACCATTTTACTAGTCATGAGACAAACATAACGTATCGTTTTTTAATGACTTGCAAATTTTGCCCACTAATGAAGGATCAAGCTTTTCTACTTTGAAAGTACAGTTCATAAAAAACTGATGTAAACAAAATTAATTTATTTATATGTTGCTATGGTTGAGTACTAATAACATAAAGAGATGAATCTACCAATTGGCATTCATAGTTTACATTATGAAGACTCGTCATTGCACAGAGTGCACAATAGATAATTTGTTTTATTATAAGGATAATTTGTTTTATTTGTTTTATAAAGTCATAATTTATATCTCTAGTCAGCGAGCAGTAACATGAGAAATAGCGTCGTGGTTTACAAACAAGAAGAAAGCAATAACAAATGTCGGTGCAACTGGAAAGAATCGTCAGTTATCGTTTAGGATTTCAAGAGAAAGCACATTGAATTCTGCAATACTTTCATTGTTTTTTACACTTATATAATCTTATAAGTTCATGACGTGTAAATATATTATACAACAATATTCAACGCCGAAGACGACCAGGTAGGTACGTATTAAAACGAGGTTAACAAAAGATTATTGTTAAAGTTGTCCACCAATGTATAATATGTTAGTGTTCATTCTAATTCACGTATTCATAAAATACATTAAGACTTCGGTTCGTTCATTCCACAATTATCAACTCCTTTATAAGCCTATTTAATTTATTTATTATTTTTAATTAGTGCAATATTAAAAGTTTAATTAACATTTTACAACTGTATCATAGTGGTACTTCACATGGCTATTTGCGTATTTGATATATTTGGCCAATAATCACCATTAGTAGATTGTATGTGTGACAAAGTATTTGTCTTGTTTGCCTATTCGACAAGTACAGAAAGCACCAAACTCGCTTTACCGTGCACTAATCTGTTTCTCGTCACACATCAAAGGAGTCAAATAAGCAAATAGGCAAGTAAGGACATCGTCCATATTCACTATTTTAACTCCTTATTTGGCTTCATGTGTTGAGGGTCATATTTGTCAGTGTTTATATTGTCTGCCCTACAATTATTTTTCCAAGCACACAAACACCCAATAGCGATACATGTGAGGTGCTGCCATTATATCGGGTCTTTCAACAAGAACTTTGTTTTCTAAAACAAAATAAAACAACAAAAGATGAAGATGATTCAAATTTTTATTGTATTACAAAGAGAAAAGTTCGGCAATTATGAATGAAAAATGATATCTGGCAAATGTCCACCACGACCACGCTGACAGAAGTCGATTCTTTCATCAAAATTTTTAATCACTTTTTGGCAAAATATTGGGTCTATTTCGGCTATCACATCACGGATTTTGAGTTTTAAGGCTGTAGTCGATTCGATTGGCTCCGTATAGACTCTGTCCTTAAGATAGCCCCACAAAAAATAATCCAGTGGTGTTAAATCACACGATCTGGCTGGCCATTCAACAGCTGAATTTCGGGAAATTACGCGATCAGCAAATTTGGTTTGCAATAAATTGATCGTTTCATTGGCTGTGTGACATGTGGCACCGTCTTGTTGAAACCTGGAAATGCGGTAACAGTGAATGGATCACGCTATCGCGAGATGTTAACAACTCAATTTTGGCCTAGCATTGATGACATGGATATCACTGACATGTGGTTTACTAATATAATTTGTACTATTTTGATTAAGTTGTTAAGCACATTTAGTATGGAACACCGGTTTTTGTTCTGATTTAAAATGAGTTCTCAAAGTAAAACTTGTTCGTACTAACGACTGTGGTCACCTTCCTTTGTATATAATCACTAACACGAGTTATGCTCGGGGTGCATAACTCGTGTTAATACCGTGTACTATGGCAGGGAATTATTTAAAAGGGTTACCAATCAGTAGCCCGAAGTGATATTTTCCAGAAATAACGCGAACTCGAATTTTCATAACCTTGAAAGTAATTATGAGAGGAAAATGTTTTTTCTTTTAAATCTAACTTAACCTACCCTAACCGAACCAAATAGTGTCTTTGAGATAAACATCCAACATATCTTGAAAGAACAACGGTTTCGTTATAATTCGGTTCTCGGTCTAATGAAAATTTCTAATGTTATTTCGGAAACAAAAATTTCGAGTTTGTGATAGGTCACCATTTAGGAGACAATACAATATAAGTTGTACTAAGACAAAAGGTACAAAGCACTTCATCGCGTTATAGGCATATTTGTTATAACATCTGTGTCATACCATAACACATGACTAATGGTAATTGATTTTAATGTAAACATGAAAGTAATGTATCATTTGTTAACATTTCAGACGGTGCGAAAATGTCATGGACGGCGGTTGTAACGATCTTGAGTGTTGTGGTCTCAGGCAACGCTATCAACAGGCCTGTATATAAAATTGCACTTACGCAAAAAGGTTTTGCACAGGTAACTTCTTTTACTATTTGAATAAGTAAGGTGTTCAGACAGGTCACCTTGCACATAAATGTTGTTGCAATTATCATTTACCAAAACGCAAAAGATGTGTATATATATATATACAACCAGATTAGATTACACATAAATTAAATTACATAGATTTTAAGATTTTCGTGGTTATTCACTATTCACACAGTCAACCCGTGACCATGGAGCGTGCAACCGTACCGAAATATCGGGAAAATAAAAAAAAGTCATACCGTGGTAAGAAACTTGATATTAGTGATAATCATTGAAATTAAATTAATTTATGTGAATAAAATATTCGCATGAAACAAGCATGTTAAATAAAACCTGTGCGCAACAGACAACCACAAATTACATCCAAACTCACGAGAGAAATAAATGTAGGCCATACAAATATTTCTCCCGGCCCGGGAATCAAACCTAGGACCTCTGCGTGGCAGTCCGTTGGTAACCGTTCGGCCACAGAGGCAGTTAAAGTAGCAGAGTATAATACAGAAGTTATATAATATTTACATTTTTCTCTTATAAGTTTGAATTATGCAAAAGAATAGACGTTATTATAGTGAAGATGATGTACGGACAACGGCACATCAGACTACACATTTTTGTTCGAAAATCGCCTCCAGTGCAACGGAACAAGATACGTCAATGCGTAGCTTGATGTGCTGACGTGTGTACTATTAAGTCGCCCTGTTTTTGCCTGATCTGCGAATCATTACTTTCACGTTCTTTGGCATGGAAAAAGTACAAGTGATGCCAACAAAAATGATTAGATATTATTTATATTTATTCATTCTTTTTAGGTCACTTCGTGGACGTGTTGCCTGTGTTAGGATAGTTACTAAGACTGCCATTTGATTTCTAAAAGAAAAGGGAAGTTCTGGTATTTTTTATGCAATGTTGCTATTTTCAATTTTCAGTTTTTACAATATGATTTGGAAACTCCTCCGCTGAGAGAATTCACCTTTTGTACTTGGTTGCGAGTTTTTGAGCTACAGCGAGAGCAAACCATCTTTGCTTATATTGGTACGTAAATGTACAATGTTAACATAAATAGGTTAACCACAAATTATTATTTCTTTCGAGCTAAATGTAACTGTGCTGCGCGTGCGGATTTTTAAATGTTACCACTACCTACCTTTTGCTGTTTCCCACTGGTGGGCAAAGTACTTATTATACATTCTCATCAATAAAGGGCAACAGTACCAGAATCACAAATTTCCTATAAGTAACTGCCAATGTTTTCGAATAGTAACCGCTGAAATTGTCGTCGCAGTTCTCTTCTAGTTTAGACAGGACCTTTGGTAACGTATATCATACAAACCAATGTTGTTTTAAGTAAAGTAGATGCGCCAGTGGCCGACAAGCAGTGTTCGACATTTTTTTGAATTCATTTCTAATCAGATTATATATGATATAACTCGTTTTTTATTGGTACTGGGTGTTCATTATTGGTGAGTGTCGATTACTGATTAGTTAATTAGTGGATTTTTGGTGTTCATTACTGGAACTTTAGAGAAAGTGTAGATTTTTATTTATTGTAAAAATTATAATAGCTTTTTTATAATACATAATAACTCTACAGCGTAATCTTTTTTGAGGATTTTATATGTTAAGTAAACTAATCACTACTGTTATGTGTTTAAAAACAAAAAACATTAAAACAAATATAACGACACACTTCCCTTAAAATGTCAATCATTGGTGTCATCACCCAATGTAATCCATATAATCTCAGTACAGAGTACTAAAAAACCGACCTCCAAAGTACGTGGAATTACATCTATTTGCCAAGTTTTATTGAAATAACCCCTAGTTCGCCACTATACAGGACTTGACACAGGAGATAATAAAAATCGGTTCTCATTACTCAAAGTATATTGAGAGAGAAAAACGCCTTGAATTGGAGAATAGCAAAACCAACCTTTAAAATAATTGCTCCTTAAGTAAAATTTAGGCGCTATTTATAAAAATGAATGTTCATGAGTGATCAGCCACCCTTAGAGGTGGATGATTTTCTTCAAAATGAAATGGGACCACTATGGTGGTACCCTCTTTCCAACAAAAAAAGAATCATGAAAGTCGGTTCACAAATACCGGAGTTACCGCGTAACATACATACAAAAAAAACACATACAGTCGAATTGAGAACCTCCTCCTTTTTTGAAGTCGGTTAAAAATGTAATTCAATCTTTAGAGTGCGTTACCTTGAATGGAGATTTTTTTTAAATGGCATTGTGCTAGAAAGTAAACTGAAACCGTTTAAGCGAATAAGAGCAAATAAGATTGCGACATATTATAATTAATATGACCTTCTTAAATCTTAACTTGTCCCGACCAAATCCAGTCAGCTTTTGCCCAATACGGCTTTTGAATTTGGACGCACTTAGTTTCGAAACGAGATCAAAAACGAAAAGCAATTTCTTAAATATTGTATGAAAAAATTTTAAACGTTGACCTAAAATAACAACATTCTTACGTAATTTATTATTCTCAAAAACCTGTGTTG